TCAGGCATAACACAGCACTCCCTCCAAAAGATGCTCATTTCACTAAATTCTTCTGATATGGCTGCCTCTACATCAATCATTTTGCTTGTCCCCTTTGCTAGGGACCATGGCTACATATATCTACCAGGAGTTCCTACCAGCTTCTGTCCTGAAGCATCCTGGTACATCCCACCCTCATCTGTGCCCTCTCAGCCCATCCAGCTTGGACAGCATGTTCTTTTTGTCAGTATGACCTCTAGGAGGATGTTCTTTGGTTGCCTCAGGTCTGTCGTTTGCTTGGAAAGGTCTTATGTGGTCATTTCAGTCTCTCCAGTCCAAGAAGCATATGGATCCTTCCTCCCTGCTCCCTGCAGTGTCTTCATACCAGTCTCATCCATCATTCTTCCAAGATTGCAACAGCTACAGTATAATCTACTGTTCTCCACTCTCCCTGATTGCATCCATGACAAGTATGATGCACATCTTGCCTCCTTGTTGTAAGATACAGCAGAAGACCCTCCCCCTTCATCCTCTCTTCCAACAGAGCCTCATTCATGAAGTTTTTATTTGCTTCACTGAGAGGATGGTTTGGGGGGGAAGGTTGTGATCCCCTATGCTCCTGTCACCCCACAGACCCCCAAAGCTTGACCCCTGTTGACATCTGACTCACCCTGTCCACTTTTGGATGTACTATATTGGCATCAGATCAGTGCTGCCTCTCTGTCATCCCACCTTGGCCTAGAAGCAATCTCTTTGAGATGTGACATGCACAGCCTCCCCCTAATGTGATTCCAGTGCACTTTCCCAGTTCCTGACATCACTTGACTCATACTTTGATGTTCTGACTGTCTTTGACTCACCTATTGCCAATACTTACCAATCTTTTGACTTTGCTTACTGATTCTTCACTTTTTGGCTTGCTAATCCTTACCAATGCTTACCAATGCTTTCCAAGATGATTACCCATCACTTACATTCCTTACTCATCAGTTACCAATCACTTACCAAGTGTTTGCACCTTGTTTTCCAAGGGCAACACCCCTGTACTGTATATAAATCACTGTACTTAGATAGCAAAAAAGAGAAGACATCAGAGAGCCCCTCTTGCTCACATTTTATCATCACTCAGTAATTCATTCAGCAGCTTCGATAGTTGAGACTTTATTAAGGGTCTAACTATCATCTACTTCACTTATCCTTGTCTATCATCAATATACTTTGCTCCAAGCCCTCCCTGAGCTCAGTGCAGCTTAGGACATCAAATTAAGTTGTCATCCATCCTTCTGTAGGCTGACAGCAGTCTACCCTATCGCATTCTCTTGCATTCCTGCTCCTTCTTCATCAGGAGCACCCCCAACCCTCAGCACTCATCCTTGAGTGTTGTAGCTTGCAAAAACCCTCCCAAAGAACAGGTTCTACCATCTAGGTACCACATAGGCACACCACCACTCACTCTTTTTGTCTTTTGTGTTGGTTTTGGTTGGTTTTCACCACTGAACCACACTTTGACTCACATCGCATGTCTAGGTGTTCAAAGTGTCTGCTGTGTACTCTGCATCTACTGTGCCTTCTGCATTTCTGTGTCTTGCCTCCATGTCTCATGAGTCTTGGAAATACTTCTTCATGCCAAGGTCATCACTTGGAATTTCACAAACAAGTCTACTCATACCCAATTCACCTACATCTCTGCAGAATTATATTCCATGCCCCACATTCAACTCCTCAATCAACTCTACCATCATATTCTACATTTCCTTCCTACTCAGTGCCCCTTGGGTCAAGCCTAGGGATTACCCTGCAGCTTCACCCCCCCCCTAATCACATGCTACCCAGAGGTAGTGTCCCATAACAGATAGTTGGAAAATTTGATTGAACAGATATTGGATGAAAAGCAGGCTGGGAGGATGAAGAAGTACTTGGTGCAGTAGCTGGGGTATGGGCTGGAGGATGATGAGTGGTTGACAAAGAAAGATCTGGAGGATTGCAAGGCCTTGGATGTTTGGGAAAGAGAACACCCACCATAGGGGATGTTGGTGGTTGGGGTCAAGAAAGGGTTGGTGTAGAAGGTTGAGGAAGGATGTTGATGTGGAGATGCTGACAAAGAATACTGAACACATGTGCTGCTCCCCCCATTGCCTTTTTCTTATGGGTTGGGAGGGTGTAAGCATAGTGCTTACCACTAACATGCCACTCACACTATTGACATCACTTGTGCTAACATGTCACACTATCACACCTCCTATTCACACTTTCATTCAGGTCATGCAGATCCCTCCTGTGTTGTGCTGCTTGGACTCTGAGGGTATATATACTGGTGCTGTCTGTGTCCACAGGAGATATCTCTCTTTCTTCCCTTTCTCTCTCTCTGTCCATCATCTTGTATCAGTGTATATGCTTGATTGCTCAAATCCACATGCCTGTCCATGTTCTGTCATTGTTGTGATTGGTTTGAGTGTGCTCACCCCTCTGTGGTGAGTTCCAAATTAGTTCCTAGGTCCCCCTAGCATCCTTGTCATCACGCCATATCCATCGTTGTGTGCTCAGTACTCTCTCAAGTAAAGTTCATCACTCAGACATAGAACACGCTCTCTTTTCATTCAGCTAGCCTCACGGACAGCAGCCGGGTGTGTGTAGATAGAACTTAATGTCTGACAGAAGTATTAAGCCATGATCCCCAATTCAAGGCGGAGCGTCTAAAACAGCCACCGGGAATGGCGGACCGGTGGGGAAGACAAACTTTATCCTCCAGCAGACGCCGGTCTCACATCCACCTTCTCGCGCACCTCACATCCATTCCCGGCCGATTCATTTGTTTCAGTCCCGTAAGACCGGTACACCCACCTGATCCTGTGTGCCTCCGACGACGTCACTCATGGTACTCCCCGTTTGCTAGAGACTCATCCGCCACTCACAAGCGCAGGCGCAGCGGCTGAGAATCTTGCGCCTTTCAAGTAGTTCATCGTGTCCCGAGGGTAATCCAGCCCGTTCATACGCTAATCCGCATTATGGAAGTTGGTTCGACGTGGCAAGCACACATGTTACATACAGATCTCAGTTAACCACAACATCATGCGTCGTTCAGGTAACCCCACGACCCGCTGCCGATGTAGTATTAGCACTCCGGGTATCAAAGCCACCCCCACAAGTGTGAGGGGTGGCCTGAATGAGAGGAGATCACGACTTGAGCATGATACATTCCTCTCACGTCCTGAAAATGCGTGCAGCTCTTCCAAGCGATCGATATCATTCATCCAGTCAGCGGAGAGGTCACTAGGACACTGATCTTCGCGCTTGTAAAGTATTTACACGTTTGCAAGGATGTACTCGACGAGCCTGGGGTTTCCTGATATCACCAAGGATAAGCCAATCGCACGATCGGGGGACGTCTCCTACAGAAGACTCGGTGACGTGGAAAACTATACCACGATGCTAAATACTTACGTTTGTAATACTATCATCCGCGTGCATCCGTGTTAGTGGGGATGGTGGCATGGTGTTCAGTGTTGAAATCACTGCCAAACCGATGGATATATTCTCTTGGACAACTACTTAATTACTTACCTCCAAACAACCTGCCTCGGTTTTGGCTGTCTTGCACACATACCATAAGAGGAACAAATGGCTGTGTGAAGTAAAACGGATGCTGGTTCAGGGTGAAACAACCTCATGTATATTTTCCGTTTAAATCTCTCTGTGGGCGACTTGGAAGGTCAGAAAATGTACTCCGATTGGCTTGCTGTGGACTCCAGAGCTCGTGGCTCAGTCACATCGTCCCATCGCACAGATTCAGCGATCATAGGCTGTGCCATAGGTGTGTACACCGTATCAACGCAATCGCTGCTCTTGTTCTTTATCCCCCGGGGCCTCTTTTTAGTAGGTGTCAATTCCAAGCCGCAGTATTCCTGTGGTCCACGCGACTTAATGGGTGAGGCAATCGACGAAATTCGAGACGCGATAAACGATCGAAAAATATTCGAGAAACTCGATGCGTCCGCTTTGAGTCCTAGGGATGTATAATTCTGGTTATGTTGTTGTCCTTGCCATGCTGTTCCCCGTCTAGAAGCATTGTGTGTGGGCTCACCACTCGTCGTCATACTGCCTTCCCTCTGTCATTCTTTCTTGTACCGAAGCCGTCCAGCAGTACGTCACTCGCGCCCACCGTGTCTATTGTCTTCATTCACTGAGGAGTCATCATCCTGGCTCTGTACTGCAGGGATGCCCTTACAACGCTTTGACAGCACTGCCTGCCCAGGAATTGTACTTTACTATGAATTGTGATGGCGATTTCTTGAGTGCCACTCATTCCCTTTCTCCCTTTCTACCTCTGCTCAACCAGACCGACGTGGGCGGCGTCTTCCACGACAAGGCTAATTGGTAACTCGCAAATTGATACGTTGTCGCTGCAATGAGCCCGCGCGACGAGATTAGATATTGGCGCAACCTCGCGATGCAGCGGGGACACGAAAGCCTTGACCCCGACTACATTGAAAATGCTATAAGAGACATATATGAACATGATCTCCTCCCCGGCGATGGCGATATTCGTCAAACCAGGCGCTCTCGTACCCCGCATCCTCCTCATGCTCATCCCCCGCACATCCCTCACGCCAGTACCTCGCATGGCACGTATGGCAATGAAGCTTATCCTCGCGCCCAAACCCAAACTCGTACACAATCCCGTCGACCAGTCACATCTCCAGAAGAGGTGTTGACCCCTGTCACTCCCTCTAGTACGACACGTGATCAGCTCCCACATAATACCCGGACAAGATATTCCTCCTCAGGAATCGAATCTAATTCGCTACAACAACCTCCTTATCATCGCTCGCCTCCACCTTATCAGGAACGGCCACACAACTCACATACACCCATATACCATCGAACAACGGAATTCGACCCCTACCCCTCACACGGTCCCCGCCACTCTTTCCCGCCATTCTTGAATGAAGGAATTCAGATTAATCCAGGTACGTGGGTCTAGTTCCTCCAACTTTCGACGCCACATATCCTAATATGGGTCACAGAACCAACGCTATTAATTCACCATATACAATGGAGTCCGCCGATCGCCCGTGACACCTCAGAAATGTGGCGAGCACTGCAACGAAGTCCTGCAACCACCCCAGGATTATATGCATTCCGTTTTCCTCTTCGTCCACTACCCCACCTCGATGTGCCAGCGGATACCTTCGGGTCCGGAGATACCGTGTCTGGACAAGAACCCGCGTCAGCACAACAAGGGGCTGTGCCGCGAGCGCAACAACCACCTGATACCCACACGGAAGCCCATCTATGGAGTGGATGGCTCCTCTCTAGTCCATCCTCATGGTGGCCCACATGGGCACCGGGCGTTACACCTGGCTCTGGTAGGGTCCCGCATTGGAATCCAGGCACCTGGCCACCAGTACCACGGGCCACTGAGGTTCCCATCCAACTCTCCCCATGGCTTGCTCCAAACCCCATAGATCCCAATGTTCCCCAGATAGAATGGGATCTGGGTACGCATCCCGCAACAGCCCGATGGTTCACTGGTGCGCATGTTATTCTTCCCCCGGACTCGGCAGGGGGTGGGAGCATGAGCGCTGGAATAGGCCAAGAACCAGCGACCTCGCCTGCATCTGACAAGCTTTTTGTGCTATGTGATGTTAGCTCGATAAACCGATTCTGGGGCCCAATCGTCATCGAACGACCGGGCGGAAGAGTCACGATCAGTGACCTTCTAGAAGGTATCTACATCTTCTTCCAGATGCACCTTTCACGTGCAGAAGTGGACTATATCTCCTCTCTCGGGCCAGAATATTATCGTTTACCACTAGCTGCTTATCAGAGGAGGGTGGCACAAAGAGGAGTACCAAGAGATCGGGATGGGAGGGATGGGATAAGGAGGGTGGATTGTCTTGGGGATGGAAGGCGGTGGTGGGGTGCCTGGGTAACACATAACCCGAATGGCACATGGCAGTTAAATCTGGAACTTAGCTTAAACCGCGATAGTATAAGGGTCACTAGACCATCACGCACTTAAAGCAATGATATTAAAAAAAAAAAATCTGGGACTCGTGAACCTTCCTCACTGAAATACATGACCGGTGCTTTCATATGATATGCCAGGTACTGCTGTATCAGACTCTCAGAATATATAGTGGGTAACTGACAACAACATCAGCTAGGATGTGAATGATCAGCCGCCCCTAGCGGCTAATTTTGGAAACGAGAGGGAACGTGAACGCGCATTACAATATATATTTCCACAGATCATCAACTTTGAAACGCCGTTTTGTACCAGTGCGGTACATCGCATTTGTCGCGCAAGTCTGATATGATCATCCAGTGATCGGATTCAATATTCAATCTCCACACGGCTGTATTCCATTTCTTATGGCTGGGAGCTGTCACAGCGCAGCCCTATCCCAGTAAAAGTTCTGATATTACGTATATGTATACTTCGCTAATTCGTCATGGATGCGGGGCGACCAACCATATGCAAAGGGCCTGATAGCAACTGTTACCTTAGTTCTTTCTCCTTATTTTCTAATGACAAACTCACTGACTCGGAATTTCGATGGCATCGCCGTATGTTATCATAACGGTGCACACTACCGCTTCTCTGTACACTGCTGATCGCATCAGAAAGAGCCTCTAGCTCAGTTATTTATATGTTGTACTGCCCAGGCTATGTAGTGCCTGCGAGTACGGCGGAAACATTTTACGACGAAATCACAATATTTACGGCCATCGCCTTGAAGTAAAAATAGAACAGGAGCATATTGGTGCTAATTATAGCACTACCGCCACAGGGCGGTTACGTACCAAAATATGACCGTTGATCGGTAGTTCCCATTCAATTCAATATATTCATGAAGGTTGCAGTGATTCAATGTCGCCTCAGTCCATGAGAGTTGCATCAGACAGCGACAGATCATAGCCACGGATGGCAGCCACGGAGACTCCGACTCTTCAACGGGTGCAGGCGTATAGCCTTGTCGATCTACCTGGTTGTTATAAAATGACCATGGACTGGTCATGGGGGAAGCAATCACGCCAACCACTCCAAGTCCTTTCGTCTTTTTTCACTCCTCCACTTGATCTCTGTTATATCGTCCTAGATGGATAGACCACCCGCACCCATTACCTCACTCACCCCCGAGCTTGCTGAGCAGCTCCGCGGACGCGCGCTGGACGTGCTTTCGTACCTCGTCAAGACCAACTCTGCTACTACCTACTTCAAGGAATCCGACGTTCTATCACGGTTTCGGTCTGCGCTTCATCTCAGCGATGGCAGCAATGGTTTACTGCAGGCAGTTGACCAGACCTGCTCTTCCAAAGAGTTGTTCGGGGTCTATCACAATAACGTGGCGTTGAGTGTCTACGAGGACTACCTTCCATTTATCTCGCGTTTCTTCGAGCAGCCATGCAAAAAGTCCTCGGTAGAGAACCTCATGGCCCCCGGACTTCCCTGCTTCATTGCGCACTCCTCCGGCACTTCAGGTGGTGCAACGAAGCACTTCCCAAAATACCGCCACCCGGACCATATGTCGATGTCCACGTCCGAGGCGATGAAAATGTCGAACCCGACGAGCAAGAGTGGGGGCAAGAACTGCATCATGTATTCTCTGGGACACCGTCAGGTCGTGGCTCCGCTGAATGAGGATGGAAATATGGACGGACAGATTCCTGTTTGCCTGATGACGAGCGGCGTCATCCGTGTGAGTAATAATATGGTATGTCGTGTCAACAGAACAGACTTTTCTAGCATGTGCTGACAACATTCACTTACCAGGTGGTCGAGAGGGACGCTATCTACTCTACCATAAAGGGTGAGTATATGATTTCTGCGTCTGCATAGCGTCTGAGTGATCCATCCTCGCGTGCAGTTCCCAATTGCTCGTCGCCCCTCGCTGTCTCCTTCATCCCAAATTACAAGTCTTTCTTGTTCATGCATGCTCTCTTTGCCTTGATGGAGCCCAAGCTCGAGACGATCAATACCTTGTTCACCACTACGTGCAGGGACCTATGTCGTGCTATACATGATCAGTGGGGTGATTTCATTCATTGCATCGAAACTGGTACAATCCCAGACCTCGAAGGCATTGAACAAGTGAAGGACGACCTTCAGGTTCGTCGGCAAGAATGCATGCGAGGTTCCAATGATGCTAACTCTTTGATCGACAGCGTTTTCTTAAACCTAATCCCGATCGGGCGGGGGAACTGCGGGAGATCGGAAGGGCGACTGGAGCCCCGGGATGGTTCCGACAGATTTGGCCAGAGCTACGTGCCATCCTGGCAACTGCCAGCGGTCCGTTCGCCACTGTCATCCCAAAGGTATTACCTCTCGCCCCTATTTCTTAGATGCACGGCTTCTGACACCCATAACTAGATTAGGCACTACATTGGACCTGATGTGTCTCTCCAAACTTTGAGTATTGCTAGTAGTGAAGCATTCCTTGCCCTGGCATATGACCCAACGGACCTCAATCTATACAAGATCGTAGGTTCCGACGACGTAATCGAGTTCTTACCTGTGGATGAGCCTGAGGAGTCGAAATATCTCGCTCAAACGGTACTCCTGCCACAGGCTTGTGTACGTGTGACTAATGCTGACCTTTGTACCAGTGGAACGTTGAACTGGGTAAGAAGTACGAAGTGGTTCTCACGACGAGAGACGGGTTCTGGCGGTACCGCTTGGGCGATGTTGTTGACGTCGTTGGATTTGATCCTCGTGATGGGCAGCCCCTCGTCAGATATATCGAGGTATGTTTCCTAGTTTCCCGGTCCATCCGTTTTTTTCTGATCGTCTCTCTGTTCGGTAGCGCCGAAAGTAAGTATTCTACAATACTGGTGTAACAACTATTCAAGATGGGTTATCATTTTTAGCATGCATATCCGAATTGCAAACGAGGTGACAACAGAGACGCAGCTGCGTAGTGTCATCGATACGACCTCAGGCCTATTGGGAGGAGTGTCTGAATTCTGTGTTTGCACTGATTACCGTGAGAGCGTTGGTCGGTATGCTTTCTTTGTGGAACTACAGGGAAATCTTGGTAAGTCCTTTGGAACGCTCTAGGATTATACTCAGACTGATATGTACCTTCCTCTTCAAGGGAAAGATAGTGCTACCGCGCCTGCTGCATTGCACGATGAACTCCAGAAGCTCAACGAGAATTACCTTAGAGACAGTCAATCCGGGAAAATCGGCGTCCCGGCTGTTAGGGTGCTCAAGCCGGGTACCTTTGGCGATTTCAGAGAGTGGAAGATCAGGACGAACAACATCGCTGCTGGGCAGGTGAAGGTTCCCATTGTCGTTTGGGATGAAGTCAATCGTGCATGGTTGGAAGAACGAGTGATGCGTGATATTTGACTTGAAGGTGGGGAACAGCACGGTGAATGTGAATATACTTAGTTGAACGATATTTCTCTGTTGGACAATTTTCCATGATCACTGTACGCTACCAAAGACTACGCGCAACTTTGTCTAACCTGATGATTATGTAATCAAACACTGAACTTGTGAGCGATTTAAAGCAGCCCTTCGGAGTATGCCATAGATCGCACCTTCTAAGACAGCCATCGGCTCTTCGCACGCTACCACTGAGCGACTCGCAGATGCACTGAACCGGGCAGTTGGGTGCGTGAGAAGTCACGCATTCATCCAGTCCACAAATACTCTTGTAGTCTATTTCTTTATCGACAACAAGCACTGACGTAATGCAACGCTTCGATGGCTTCACAGACGTCATCGACACCTTGCATACGACCGTGCTATTGAAAACGATCCACGGGTAAGTGTATTTTCTCAGTGATTTCTGAACATTCCGAGGACTTCATTGGCAGCGTTCACCAGGGGCACGGTAGCGACGTTGCACTCTTATTCCTCCCACCCAAGATATGATATTCCAAAGGTGAATCCGTCACCTGTGGGGGGCCAGAGTGGCTCAACTGAATTTATACAGTGTTCGTTCGCCAGGAACAGAAGCGTGTTAATCCTATGACTTCCGGGCCCTTCTAAGAGTCGTACTTCGATACCCAGAATTCACCCATGGGCAGGCGTTAGACACATTCGAGCTGGAATGGGAGAATCAACAACAAGCTCGGGCAAAGCTTCAACCGGGCAAAGCTTCAACCAGGCCAACCCCAGCTAACCTTCGATACAGGCAAAACGGTACCAACGGTACCACCGATACGGCCGTCGGAGTACGTGATCATTCGCCTTGAAGCTTTCAAACATGTTTCCTTACGGTTCTTTACACGCGAGGGACTAAAAGGCGCGGCAAGGCTAGTGGACTCGAAGCATGTCAAACTCGACTACGATCCCTCCTTCATCGAATTCTTGTTCGCGAAGAACTATTTCCTGGCCCAGCTCGAATTGACCAAGTGGTCTGCCAGGGTTATAGATGCCTTCCATCGATTCTTTTTCTACATAGAAACACACGAGCTACGACTGGAAGAAGAGCGTGGTGAACGAGTCTTGTTGCACTATGCAAGTCGAGTTAGGGCTGACTGGCACAACTGCCCGCCTACGGAGCGTTTCGATATCGCAATCATCAATGACTCGCTGGTCAATGCGATAGCCAGATAGCTAGACTTCAAGGACAACAGACGAGACATAGAACGGTGAGTGCCGTTCACATGGAGTCTTAACAACGTTTAACATTAACCTAACCACACGTTGCTATCAATGCCGCGCGAACATCACCTTTGCCTAAACACACCTTCGTGCTCTCATATTCACGTAAAATAAATGAACCACCAGATTTGAAAGGGTCCTCAGGCCGAACAATACCTCGAGCTTCGGCAAGTGAAGAACCGGCGAACGCTACTCAATCCAGGTGAGATTACGCGAGCGTGGACGCGCATCTCAAGAAGGCTGGAAGATTTCGCGCGTAACCAGACCAATCTGCCTCAGCGGAGAGGTGCATGATTTGGCACGGGTCATCCAGCGCCCCCGACTTTCATCAGTGTGTGCAGCCCAATCCTAGGCTAGTGACACAGCCCGCCTGCCACACCATATCACCGCGGCGAGACACTCCCCGCTATGGTCACATACTTAACTCACTAACTAATAGCTTTCAACGCGCATACCCACCAAGTCTCGTCCACATTCACCCTCCCGAATCACCCGTTTGCTGAGTCGATAGAGAACTCATTATCTGGGACCTTCTTTACGCAATTCGCTCGGACGCACCTCAGCCCTCTTTCCATTTTTACTTTTGATCATCATTAACCTGCTGTCTCGTTCTTGTATCCACATATACCCTCTTCAATTGATAGTATCAGGCCAATAAGTGTAAACTACTCCATATGCTTCCGCTACGGACCCGGTGATCGACTGCAATACTACGCATTCCATAGATGGTAATAAAGATGGACCCCTATTCGATCTGCGATCTCTCGGCAACACCTAGGGTAAGTAACGACAGCCGTGTCGAGGAAGGGGTATGATATGTGATGGGCCCATACGACGACCCCCACATTCGCGACATTCTCTTACCATATGCACGTGCACATCTTACCACCGACTATGTCGAATACACGGAACAGGGAGTGGAGCAGGTATGTGTTATCATCGCTCTATACATAAAAACGCCCGCTAATACACTGAGCACGCACGCATAGATCCTGCTCGAGACGCTGGCCTCCGTGCCATTGGCAGACGCCACGTCTTTCTTACTCCCTACAGACCCGTTCGAGGCGCTCGCCAAACACTTGGACTCGCTCGACCTTACACCGTATCAAGAACGATGGTCTGTCCCACAAGGCGCAATCGAACTCATTAGAGATGTCTTTCCGCCACTCGCCGAACTCAGGTCCGAGAAATGCTGTCTCGAACTACAGAATGATCCTTGTAAGTCGGCAGGCACCCGCATATAGTCATACACGAATATTATACGATGCGCAGACGACAAACTTTCCGAGTTGTATAGACCAATGTCGCCCGTGCTAACTCAGCGAGCGAGACGCGAAACGCCCAAACTTGGTTGCACAGGAGTCCTGGCCTCTATCCCACGGACTAGGTCGTCCCTGCAGGGTCATCTGATCCTAAAACCCGTCCCCGACGAGGTGATCACAGAGCTTCCTACTCCGGATATAAATGACGTCTTGTTAGTAAAAATATAGTCGGAGTGGCCATGTTTACTGATGCATTGTTGCCTAGGGACGTTCGGTACAAGATGGATGCAGCAACACAGGCGAACGTCCGGTTTTTGTTACAAGCAATATCCAAGCCTCACGAAAACGCGTCAGACGGACTGCACGTTGCCAACTTCTTGAGGTCCGAGTCACCAACCCGCCAGATTTCTCTCTTAGATTCGCCTCCGCTCTTTCCGCGCGACAGTGGAACGGACAACCAGTTAACACGGAAACACGGGAACATCTGTGAGAGGACTCCTGGACTCAATTGCGCGGCTGACGGCGACATAGTACCTACACTTGAGCACGCAGCAGAACAAGTCATCGAAGAGGAGGAAGGCGGTCTGCATGGACAGCACATGGAGGTGGTGAACGGATGGTGTGCGTCGATAGCAGCGTTGTGTTGCTGTGTGCTCGACATTGGAAAATGACATCGTTTTTGATAGGTGCATACGTCGTTTCCTCGCCACCGTCCTACCACTCGGATTCATCGTCAAATAACGACGTGGACGAGTTATGGGACATGTCACCACCACAATCACCACCCACCTCGTTGGCTGCTGAAAAGATGGGTATGTTATCCATTTATTCTGCGGCCGGAACGTTGCGACATATCCGTGACGCTTCTCCCTCTTAGAAGAGATCGAAATACCCAGGACTAGGATATTTGGGCGTGGAAACGAAAGCCATAGAAATGCGATAGCTGATGTCGTTGGAAAGAGGTGCATTCACCTTTTCTCTCATTGCACTTGATCTCTGGGCACATTTCGTCATGCGTCTTTATATGCTTATCTGTTCTGTTTTAGCGCTGGGTCTTTCATTACATCAGTCATCTCATCTACTCGCGTCCCGGCGGCGAAGACCTACAGGGCCTCCCCTCTCAGTCCCGCCAATTCGATGCTCGGGCAACCTCCATCAACCACCACAGGGCACGATCACATCGTGGATGTAAAGGTACCTCCCGTCATCGACGCAGTTGCAGACGTAGATTCGGAAGCGGACCTCGACGCCACCCTAACGAAGATCTGCGCGTTGCCTCGTGACTCAGTAGCTTATATTTTGGAGGAGAGACTGGACGAAAAAGATGTATTGTTGATGGATGGTGAGGTCTTTGGCTACTTGCCTCCCCGCTGTGATTCCTAACCTTTGCACGCACAGTGCCAACTCTCCGGCCACCTACGAAACGTCCAGGAACGCTCTTTCCACAACGGATGGCGAACCTGCTGGCGTCAGAGAGGGGATCTAAAGTAGTCACTGGTGCCGTGGAAGAAAAGACCGCCGGCATGCCGCCATTTTTGGATCCTGTGAAGGGATTAAAGGCCTTGTCACTTAATCTATCATGGGTGTGCGTTTCCTTTCGATCGATGGTTTCCGCAATTGTGGGTCGTCGCTTTCGCTGTTGGCATCGCAAGCGCTTCCTACTAGTAATTTTGTTCCGATGAATGCGAAATGCTGAAAGTTTGATAGGCCGTTTAAATTCGGACGATCGATCCCTACAGACGAAGAAGTTGCACGGGTCGATGGCACGTTAGATGTGGTCGACGCCGGTACAACAGGTGCTATCCATGCTGTGAATGACCGAGAAGACGGGGTGGGCGCAGCCAATGTTTTACGGGGATTCGAAGGGTTGGGTGCGAGCCCTACTCCAATGTGCAGACAATCTAAAGACGAAGAAGTCGAGTACGTGCTTTCTCGGTGGGAGAGGGATAGGATTGCAGGGGGTGAGCCGGATAAAGAGGTCCGGAGTGAGGATAGGGAAACAGATGGCAAAAAAGACGAAAGGGCGGAGATGAATCAGTGTAACGAGGAGCTCGATGAACCCCAAGCCGTGGAAGACAGCGATGTGAATCCATGCCTTGACGCAGACCAACGTCCTGAATGCGCGGCACCTCGAGTCACAACTGCGAATGCGGGTGGTATCAGATGCATTGAGGGACCATTCAGTGACGATCCGTCGTCCTACGATGTGGGGTATGGAGATCATTGCTGGGGCGAAACGGACGACGCTGACATGGAAAACATCAATCCCTTCGGTGGTGTCCACGGAGACGGGACCACGCACGGCACTGAGTTCCACCCGCAGTTCTTGTCCCAGTCACCCCCGGGCACGCCTCATCCGGAAGGACCGATGGATTCCGTCGGATTCGTTTTTCACGCTCCTGAGAATGTTATGCACAGTTTCGTGGAAGAACGGCAACATGTTGGTGGTACAAATCCAGAAAACCGATCTTCCAATCATATGCCAGGAATTTCTCGCGACGAGATCAATTCGGCCCGTGCTACAAAACGACGTAAACTTGACCGCCTCGTCCCTACCTCTGCAAGAGACCTCTTCGCGACATTCATCGGACTTCGTAATAAGGGTATCGTACCCCTACCTACGTCGTCGCCAGATCGTCCCGAGACACCACACATGCAAGCCCCGCTAGTTCTCGCAGAATCACCACCGCGGACGGCTCCCGACGAGGTCATCAATCAAAACACGGTTCTACTCCCACCACACTGGATCGATGCGACGACAACCCATCGATACATGGCATCTTTATCCATGATTCAAAGACGCGCCATCGTTCAGGAATTACAGGGCGATGCGTGTAGAGTGATTCTAGTCGAACGGTATTCCCTCGAGGGGGGCGACATCATCGTCGATCCGGGCCGGGCAATTATTTTTGCGCCCTTGTTTGCCCTGCCTGCGCAGATTGAGGTACTCGCAGAGAGGATATCGGGGGAGTCATGGCGGTATGATGAGATTCTTGTCGTGTTCGAGGCATATCCGAGTGCAAGAAGCTACCGAGCGAATGATAAGAGTGGAGATCGAGGTGGCTTGGGGCTGAACGCGTATACTCCTCCGATCCTCAAAGCGATTAGAAGGTTGAGAAGGATTGTGAGTATCGCGGAGGGGTGCAGGACAAAGGATAACAAGTGTTCGGTTATATGGGCGTTTGCAAATACAATCGAAGAAGCTGCGAGGGTGGTAAGATGTTTCGGTGAGGAAGCCTGTGCGAGGGCTGTACAAGGGGGAGCAGACGTGCTGTGGGGAGAAAGGGAGTGGCTGGAAGAAGAGGAAATGGAAGGCGAAGCAGATCTTGCGGAGGCGGATGGTATGAATGCCTTTGCAGCATTTGTAATGTTGTATGGGAGGACGTTGGAAGATGTGCTTGATATGTCGCCCGAGAGCAGGGCGGAGGAATTTGCGGCGTTGGTAGGGCAGAAGCGTGTGGTACGTGTGTGCAGATTCGTTGCTGTTATTTTGCTAATAGACGGGCACTAGGAGAGGCTGAATAGGACGCTAGGGCAGCGAATGTTGGAGCTGGGATCTGAGATCTGAGAACAGGTGATGCCGCTTATGACGCGACATGTCACACTTCGTAATTAGTTGTGTCACGCGTCAGTAGTCACACTCCACCTCATAACTCTCATGGGCGACATAAACCCAAGGCCGCAGAAAAGATTGTGCACGGACCCAAATCTCGTAGATTCTCCGGAAACAGCGTCGGATACACACTGTCCGCCAGCGTTGTCCTCTACTTCTGTACTACCGGTTCGACCACCGACGTCGCCAGGCTTGAAGCCTCTGCCTCCTCATGTGCTGCTCCTGGCTTTGCCAGCGCTTCTTCTGCATCCCCCGACACACGAAAAATATGCCTTATCCCTTTTCTTGTCACTAAAGTCAATACGGTTGTGCTTGCAACTACCGGCTCTGGCCCCTGACGTGGAGTGCTATGCGTGGACCGCTCTTGCAGAGGTGGGTATGCGGGTTATCAAGAGTGGGTTTTGTAAGACAAGTGAACATGATTGGACAATGGGACTCGAAGAAGAAGTGAGTATGTTTATCTGGAGAGGATCGTGTCTGCTTCCACCATTCACCATGTCTCGAAGGTCGAGAAAGCAATTGGGAAGGGGGTAAGTTCGGATCCCTGTCCCTCTCCTATCACTCTTACTCAGGTTTTCGAAGCTCTTACTTGCACAGAAGGTATGCCAGATGCGCATATATACAAGTATTTTGTTCATTGCTTCTCCAGCATCCCATTCTTAGACATCTCCGTCACCATCTCTCGCTACTAAACGCCCACTTTGCATTTTGGCGATCCAACACAAGGTTTGCACGTGCTGTTCTCCGTAGATCGATATCGACCTTCGTTCCATCGGATCCTCCTACAATCGTATATGCGGCCCATCTCACGCTCATAACTCAACTTATATCCTCCCCGCCTGCATCCCCATTTTCTCACGGCAAGGGTACAGAGCCGTCTGTTTCCTTCCATCCACATGCGAATCCTCCGGAAGTACAGGCTGCTCTAACTGCTTTAACAAACCTCTCAGCAATCGCTGCACAGAACCAGCATTTCTCGATGTTGAAACTAGTCGCTGTGTTGCGCCTACGGGTGTTGATTGCGGCTGAGATGTGGGACATGGTGGGAGATGCGCTAGAAGGTGCTGAGAAACTGTTGCTGTTGGTTTTCGACGATGGCAACAGTACCAAGGAAGGCGGTCAGGAACGTGGGATGAAGAGGGAGGCTTCTGAATTTTTGACGCGCTCGTACTCGATAACTGCTCAGGAAGTGCACGATAGTGCGGCATCGCAGTCAAGGCCTCAGACGGCGTCTGACAATAAATCATTGAAGCAACAACCACCCGCAGACGTAAAGGTCGCTGAGGAAGATCCCTTGACTGCTGCCCTTACCGTTCACACCCTTATGCTCGGCATCGTCTACCATACACATGGCGGACGTGCGCGAGCTACTGAACATCGCCTGGCTGCTCTCCATTCTCTAATGGATAGCGGTGCACCAGTCGGAGGTGTCAGCTCTGACGGCCTCGTGGAGGTTCGTGTCTGGCTTGTTACTTCCTAGTATGGCTTCTAAATTCGTGGTTCCTGACTACTGTAGGTTCCCCTCTCTCTGCACCCTCCGATACACCTCCGAGTCAGCCACCCTCGAGTCATCTTCCTACTTACGTTCCTCATCTCCGCTGTGGCGAAGCGTGATCCCGTCGGGCGACGTCCAAAGAAGAAAGTGTTTGCCGAGTCTGGCATTGTTCAATGTAAAGTGGGATGTGATGAAGACGGGGGCAGCGGAATCGAGATAAATGGTAAAGTTCTTTCGTTCTCTGTTCATTTTGAGATGCACTTGCGCTTACGCTATCAAGTCCCGCTTTGGTCTTCACATGGAGATGTGGAGAATATCGATCAGAGTACGCTCAGGATCGAAGCGGATTTGCTGTGCGAACTGGCTGCTGTAAGGGTGCCCTCATGTCAACTAAACGTGTCCTGTTCTAACGTATGTCAGATATCGATACAACGATGCGAATTTGACGCTGCTGAAAAGGTATGTAACACGTTCAAAGTTACATCACTATTATGCACCTACGTTATCGCAGTATCTCGATACCGTTGTAGCCCATACCCGGACACACGGTTTTTTCTCGGAATATGCGCCCCGTATAACGCTCCACTATGCCCACCTCGCCCACGGAATCGGGGATGCTGACCGAGCTGGTACATGCTACCGCGTCGCTGCTTATGTTGCCGGTGCAGGACCTGTTGGCGCGGCCAATGCAAATACGGGTGGGTTCGTAGCTGCCGCTGCAAGAGCTGGTGAAGCACTTCTTCGTATCGGGCTTGCTGCTAAACAGGCAGCACCGAATATGGCTTCCGATTTTCCTATCGTGATGGGCGAGGAATCACACTCGCCTTACCTGAACGAATCGACAATTGCGCTCACAAAAGATGCCATCGCACGTTGTTCAGCGAGCGCTTCCGCACCTCTCCCTGCTCTCGCGGAGCTTCTCTCAGCGGCGCTCTCACCTTCTCAAATCATTCGATCTAAATCGCTTCTGAAACATGCTCTCGCGCTATCCGGCTCTGCAGGTGACAATCACACGCGTGCGCTCGTGCTCGCGGTCGTAGGTGTGCAATATGTGCACACCGCCCCGGAGCACGCTTTGGAGGTTTTGGCCGTTTGCGAGACGTTAGGTGCAGGTATGGGTGCGAGTGAGAAGAAACCTGCTGGAATGGAGTCCCAGCCAATTGTATGTGGAGTAGGAAATGCGGCGTTGCGGCTATGGGTGGGGGAGAGGTTTCTCGGTGAGCGCATCGCATCTGGCTGCTGCTATCCCAGTTTGACATTGACAACAACAACTTTGGCGGGTCGTTGACCTGTTTCGGTTTCGTAGAATTATTCAAGCGCGCGGGTAAGGAAAAACGGGTACAGAAACAAGAAGAGTTTAACGCGTTGTATCGATCTGCGGTCGATGCTGTTCGGATGGGTAACTGATGTATCATAGTTATAAAGGCTCTTTTCGGACTTGGAAGGCGCATTGCTTGCGCTGCTGTGCTACATGGGCGATCGATGCTTTGCTATCTTATCAAACAGCTTCCCCCCTTCCCTTCGCAATTGCACTCATAGACATCCAGGCATCCGTGAAAGTGTAGGATAACCAGTTTGGACATTACGATCATTATTGCATTGGTAGTGCTTACTGTACAGTGGTGGTTTCATCAGGAAAATAATACTTTACTATTTTTGACTTTTTGTGACTAATGTGACTTTTTGGGAAGGAATCTACTATCATTACCCATGTCCTGCAGGTATGGCTGCACTTTTCTTGCTGATTTTGGCCTTGTTCAAACCACCTAATTCATAGCTTTCAGTAGACACCACATACATTCAAATTGATGGAGGTTCCAAAGAGATATTGTGATTTTTCTCTCAGACAGTGTGCATCATACCAATGGCTCAATATCTCTGAATTTTCAGACATTTTCTAGTCTTCTTGGCTTAGATATATCATCACTTAGTTGTCTCAATAGATTCTGTTCTCTTTTCATTCTTCAAAATGCTGTATATGGTCAAAAAAAAAGTATGGATAGTAGGTTCCTTCCCAAAAAGTCACAAATAGTCACAATAGTCACAAAAAAGTCACAAAAAGGTCAAAAATAGTAAAGTGCTAATTTCCTGATGTTTAATTGCATAGAAGTGTCCCTTGCCTCCAACGAGTTCCCTCCTGAACATGTGGTATCACAGAGACTCTGCATTCAGTTTGAAATCTAGGTGGTGGCCAAAATGCAAATACACAGCTAACAAATTTGGACACTCAAACTGGAAGCTGCAAATATACAGCCTGGAATGTCTGAGGCAATGATGAAGTCTCAGTGCACAGGGGGGACATGGTAGATGGAGAATGTAGCTGTGAAGAATGAGGAAGAGTAGTGAGTTGACCGAATGGAATGCTATATGGCAGCGAGAGCATTTCAAAATCACTCTCATTCTCTTTCTTGTGTGTCTGTTTCTCTGGGTGTGACTTGGAGCATGCGAGCAGAAGTGACAGAGTGCATTTGCATCCTCCATTGTTCAAGATTGTTGCATTCCTCGAGAACTCTGATCATCTACATCAAGAAATGAAGTCGAGACACAGACAAAAGCACATATGTTGTAAACATGGGTGGGTGGTGGGCTAGGCAACAGTAGTCCTGCTTGACCATGGGGGCCACCTGGATCATCCACCACAGATGCAGGTTGGCAAACTGTCCCAAGGAGTACTCAAAGCAGAAGCCAGTACCCAAGCATCTGTATGTTCTGGGAGAGATCCCACTATTGATAGGAGGAGATCTGCGACCAGTGTATTACCTCAAGACTACATCAGGGTGTAGTAGGGTGATACCACTTCCATGGGCCATCAGCAGCAATATGAATATGAATATGGGAGTACATGGAGGATTGGTAACCAATTGACTTGTCCTTAGTGGACTGGTGTGTCAGAGTGATTGGCATACTCTAGTCTTCAGAACTGAATGCTGACTTCACATTGGCATTATCATCATGGTCAATGTTAGGTGGTGCCATTTTCAGCATTAACAACCAGTCCTCAAGGCATCACACACAATATCTGTCCAATGTAATGTGATGGGCAGGCCATCATTCTCAGCTTTCACAGTACTGATTAGTTCCAGGACATGTGGGATTGGTGAGGAAACAGTGCAGGAGATAACTACCAGCAGGTTTCTGAATTGACCAATGGTGCTGATAGCATATTCTATTGATTACACTATAGTGTACACCAAATTTGCTGAGGTTGCCCTGAGAGAATGTCCCTGATGAGCCAGAATGTTGATTTCTTGACTTGCATTACAACAAGGAGGCTTAGTGGTGCAAAATCACTGTTTGGCTTTGTTTGTTTGTTGACAAATCATTCAGTAGACCATGTGATATATTACATAAGCATTGGTGAGCTTCTCACCATGTTTTATATGTGTTCTCAAGGACTACATCCCCAGCATATCACAAAGTTACAAAATTGTCCCAATGAGCTCTCATTTTCATTTGGGTATTCTGTGATCACTTTCTATCCAAATATTATGTAATATGGCTTATCAGAGAGCCATGACTGGCTGCTTTGACCATCCACCAACACCTTGGACTCAATCATGATAGTTCACAAACTACACCATGATTAATGAAAAACATGCAAACATTGGGACAATTTTGTGAGCCACTGTAAGTTCTTCCTACTTCATCATGGTGATGACAGTGCATTCAAACCCATGAACCCAGACATAACAACTGATGATCTGAAGTTACCCTGAAAACCCACATAGAACCAACATCCCATATCAACCTGAAACCACAAGAAAAACATGAGTCAAACCCACAAAACCTGCACATACAACAATGCCATCCCCCTCATGCACATGACCAACCTGCCTACCAGAAGACAACAACTGTGGCTTTGCAAGAACCCTCCCCCATAGATATTCTGCTAATGGATAGCAACCTTGCCCTCATGTCAGAACAAGAAATCACAACAGACTTGCCACCAGAGTATGCATCCATGTGAGCCATTCCCCCTACAAGTCTGCACAGCCCAGGGTCAGACAACTCAAACAGAGACAGCAAAGAACAGTGGTCAGGTGTGCCAGGACTACCAATGTTCTATACAGGATGACCACCCACAACATGACCCCAGTTCTGGACAACAACATAACACCAAACACAATGTCCACTATAATATCTCAACCAGCACTGAGATACACACCATTCCCCAACCCAATACCAGCACCCACATCTACCACTACCATCATTCCCACACCCAGCCACCCAACATCTGGATATTTTGACTGTCCTTGACTTATTTGTTGTCAATACTTACCAATCTGCTTTGCTTGCTTGCTTTTCATTTCTTGCTTACTCATCATGGTTACTCATTGCTCACATTCCTCACTCATTACTTACCAAGCATTTGTGCCTTGTTTGTCATAGGCTGCACTCCCCCTACAGTAAATAAACCCCCTGTACTTAACTACAACCCAAGCAATCAGAAGTCAACCAGTTCAGTTCTTCTCAGACATAACTCATCATTGACAGTTGAGGCTCATTTGGAAGAGTCTATCTGTCATCATTCATATCCTTGGTAATTGAGGCTCCATCAAGGGTCTATCTACCACCATTCTATAACTGAAGTATCATCTGTGCTTAGTCAGCACATATGCTTATTCATCCCTCCACTCCTGCATAACTTGATGTCAACTTGCATCAGGAGCACATCCCATTGAAGATCATCACTCTACTCAGCAGCCCCCATCAAGTCTTCATTCATTCACTTACTCCTGCATAACTTATTGGCAACTCATGCTAGGAGCACCTACCACTGAAATTCCCCAGCTATAGATTTGTCTGCCCTCCAGGTTCCATGGAGGTACACCACCACTTGCTCATTATCTGTCTTTGGTGTTGGTTTTGGTTGGTTCACACCAGCTTTCCACACTTTGACTCACAATGGATGAACAGGGAAATGGGGAAGGGTCATTGTAATGGACAGACCAATGACCCCACATACAGCAGATCTTCAAGTATCCAGTATGACAACACATGTAATGACTAACAGTGGACTAGCTGATATATGCACCACAAGTCATGATGTAACAACACTCAAAGAGAACAAGACTGTCCTGTTCATTCACTACATAACAATCATCAGCAACAGTGGAGAAAAAGTATGAGCACAAGCCCTCTTTGACAATGGAGCAATGATCAATGTGATGTGCACCACTGTCTATGAGGCAATAAGACATAGATTAAGGGGGTGGTCAAATTGCTCACAAACACTGAGAATGGCTAATGGCATGATCACCCTAGCAGTAACACAGTGGATGGGACAGATAATGATTGGACTGTATCAAGTCTGTGACATCCAGGTTTGAGACCAGACCAGAGACTGATGCAGGCACATGAGGCTGAAGGGTTGGGAGTATGAGGGGGGGGGGCAAAGGTACAGGGGTGGACTGATTGGACTTAGCAACTGAGGATGCAGCACTATTCCCTTGTGTGGGTTGCAGTCTGAGTCCAAGGCTGAGACAGAAGATTTCAGGGGAGACTTGTTTGATTTCAGACTGGAGAAGTACAGGCCAAGTATCTATGTTTATATACTGAAGATAAGCTATAGTACAGAGACCAGTAACACTGGTCTCACAAGGATTGCTAAGATGATTGGTAAGAATAACATTAGTAAGGTATGACAAAGATGACTGGAGACTGGGACAGAGACAGGGCAGGCTGGGGACAAGACCAAGGCAGGCTCAACTGAGATGATGCTTAGTAATAACACTGCAAAGCAGTGCTAACTGTGCTAGGCCAACTGGGGGTAGAGTTTGGTGAGGCTGAGGCCAGACTGAACAAGTGCAAGGCTGAGTCTGGCCAGGGTCAAGGCATGGCTATGACAGACTGTGTTAAATACAGATTTACCCTCAGGTGACCAGGCTTCAAGACCAGGCAACAGGGGCTAAGTCTGGGTGACCATAGTCAAGGCCAGGAGACAGGGGCCAAGTCCAGTTGGACCAGATTAAGGCTGGAGGTCAGGGGTTAAGTCTGGAGGACTGGACTTAAGACCAGTGTCACACACCAAAGGTGTTTGGTGAGGTGGACATGGATACAGCTGATGAATGGAGATGAAGACCATAGCCCTCATGCGAAGAAGGACAGCCAGGAATGTCAGCAGTCATCCCTCACACAAGAACAAGTCATCAGTGCCAGAGAAAAAGAAAGGGAGCAAGTCAAGTGCTGGCTAAAATTCTTAAGCACCCATGTATGGCATTCTGGTTTTTGGCATATCTCTGCCATTTCTGCAGATACCAAGACCATTCCCACACTCACTTGTAGTGCTCAGCCACACAATCTTACCTTCCAAAATTGGAAAGGATTTGCACACTCCACATGTTTCTACAGCACTCCCTCCAAAAGATGCTCATTTTGCTAAATTCTTCTGATATGGCTGCCTCTACATCAATCATTTCGCTTGTCCCCTTTGCTAGGGACCATGGCTACATGTATCTACCAGGAGTTCCTACCAGCTTCTGTCCTGAAGCATCCTGGTACATCCCACCCTCATCTGTGCCCTCTCAGCCCATCTAGCTTGGACAGTGTGTTCTTTTTGTCAGTATGACCTCTAGGAGGACGTTCTTTGGTTGCCTCAGGTCTGTCATTTACTTGGAAAGGTCTTATGTGGTCATTTCAGTTCCTCTGGTCCAAGAAGCATATGGATCCTTCCTCCCTGCTCCCTGCAATGTCTTCATACCAGTCTTGTCCATCATTCTTCCAAGATTGCGACAGCTACAGTATAATCTACTGTTCCCCACTCTCCCTGATCACATCCATGATGAGTATGATGCACATCTTGCCTCCTTGTTGTAAGATACAGCAGAAGACACTCCCCCTTCATCCTCTCTTCCAACAGAGCCTCATTGATGAAGTTTTCATTTGCTTCCCTGAGAGGATGGTTTGGGGGGGAAAGTTGCAACCCCCTATGCTCCTGTCACCCCACAGACCCCCAAAGCTTGAACCCTGTTGACATCTGACTCACCCTGTCCACTTTTGGATGTACTATATCAGCATCAGATCAGCACTGCCTCTCTGTCATCCCACCTTGGCCTAGAAGCAATCTCTTTGAGATGTGACATGCACAGCCTCCCCCTAATGCAATTCCAGTGCACTTTCCCAGTTCCTGACATTACTTGACTCATACTTTGACATTCTGACTGTCTTTGACTCACCTATTGCCAATACTTACCAATCTTTTGACTTTGCTTACTGATTCTTCACTTTTTGGGTTGCTAATCCTTACCAATGCTTACCAATGCTTTCCAAGATGATTACCCATCACTTGCATTCCTTACTCATCAGTTACCAATCACTTACCAAGTGTTTGCACCTTGTTTTCCAAGGGCAACACCCCTGTACTGTATATAAATCACTGTACTCAGATAGCAAAAAGAAGACATGAGAGAGCCCCTCTTGCTCACATTTTATCATCACTCAGTAAATCATTCAGCAGCTTTGATAGTTGAGACTTTACTAAGGGTCTAACTATCATCTACTTTGCTTATCCTTGTCTATCATCAATATACTTTGCTCCAAGCCCTCCCTGAGCTCAGTGCAGCTTAGGACATCAAATTAAGTTGTCATCCATCCTTCTGTAGGCTGACAGCAGTCTACCCTATTGCATTCTCTCACATTCCTGCTTCTTCTTTGTCAGGAGCACCCCCAACCCTCAGCACTCATCTTTGAGTGTTGTAGCTCACAAAAACCCTCCCAGAGAACAGGTTCTACCATCTAGGTACCACATAGGCACACCACCACTTGCTTTTTTTGTCTTTTGTATTGGTTTTGGTTGGTTTTCACCACTGAACCACACTTTGACTCACACTGGGAGCATGGGAATAAGACCAGGACTGTGGGAAACCAGCCAGTCTTGGAGTGCACACAGGGGGAAGCTGGTCCAGGGTTGGATCTACCTCCCTTGGTCTCAGTTTATGTGCTGTACCCCTATGCAAGCTGGGGAGAGGTCTGGGACAGGGGCCAGGGATAGCTTAAGGCTCAGCCTTAGCTATAGAGTAGATTTGGAGAGTAATACAGAGTTGAGGGTAATACTAAATTGATATTCTGACTGGAGTGCTACAAAGTATGTACAAGGGTTAAATACATGGGGCCAGTCTGGGGTAATAAACATAGAGCCAGACTTGTTAATAAGCTATTAGTGAGATGATTAGCAAGGAGTGGACAGCCATGGAGGCTGTGCCAAGACTAATAGTTAAAGTCCAGGTGACTGGCATGACTGGAGTTGGACACAGATTTGTACAGTAATGGTATTCAAAGTGCACTAAGCTGACAACTAAGCCAGCAAATTTTGCTCACTAAACCCTACTAAACTTTTCCTAAAATTTTCACCATGTAGATAATTCAAGTGGAGTTTTAAAGCATGCCTCCCCTCCACCCAAACCTTTGACATTCTGCTTGCCTACATGTCAAGTCTGTAACTATCATGGCCAGGGCCTCCTCTGTTGCTAGTACAAGAAATCCCCCCCCCCTGTCTGTCCCCCAACCCTCCCCCAATGCTGCATCATCCAAGCCCAAGCCAAGGGCTTCTGGGGGCAAAACACTTTACTGGGAGAGGTATTCCCACCTTACCAGAGAGCTACTGACTTGGCTATGGGAAAATCCAGCAGATTGTGCCATCTTATTCAATGAGAGGAGAGATCAGAGTGCCCTGGGGAATGCAAGGCCCCATGCCTGTCGCAAAAAAGAGATCAATGCTGTTATCACTCAAGTGATCTTCTCTAAAGATCTTGTATATGGGGCAGTTTATGTGACCCAGACTGAGAGGTTTGCTTCAGCAGTTGGTAGCCACCTGGCAAGGTATGTCTTATCACATTGTTCCAAGAGATTAATCAAAATCCTTGTTACAGCTTGAAGGCCAAATATCAGCAACAAGCATCAAGGTTTAAGTCCACTGGTGAAGGCATCAATCCTAACAATCCAGCTTATTCCAACCTTCTGGGTACATACCATGGTCCTCCTCTGTACACCATGTGGCTGATCTCACACATGGTTTTTATTTTAGAGGAAGTTATTGCAGAGTTCCCATTCTGGGAGGAATGCAATCACATGTGGCATGGGAACCCTACTTATGATGCAAGATTATTCAATCCAGCTCCTGGCACAAACTGGACAGGTGACTTTCTTTCCATCATGAACCAGGGTGGTACTACTGTAACTGTGACTCCTAGTGGCTCTACTGCAACTGCAACTGTGACTCCTACAGTCACTGATATGCAAGTCCAACAACCAACCAACCAGAACAATCCAATGGCAGGGGGCAATCTGGAGGTTGAACCTTTCAGGAGTTTTTACACTAATCAACCCTCAGGGTACTTCTGGACCTTTCACAGGTGAGGGTGCAAGTATCAATGACTTTTCTATGGGTGGGACAGAGCAGGGGGAGGATGAGGATGAAGAGGGGGAGGTATGTGAGGGAAGGGGGCCTGGGGAATGCCCTCAGTTCATGTCAGTTAATTCTGAACTAATGTTCAATGATGGTGCAGTGAATGACGCCTGCCACATGAGTTGCTATAAAACTCCTCACTCATGTTACTAATGGGAACCTTAGCCTGTTGATTCTACCCATATGATATTGCCATTCAACAAGCCTGGCTGTCAAACACTGTCATGGGACAGCTGTTCAGTATTCCAGATGTCTCCATATGCCAGATCCCCCCCCTCTGTTATCTCTACATCTACAATGACCTCTGCTGTCAGTGATGGTGCTAGCTGGTGCCAGGTGGCAAGCTCTGAGACCTCTCAAATGAAGGGGAAAAACATGCTTACTCAGCTCAAGGCAGATTTCAACAAGCAGCTTGGTGAGTTAAATGGAAATTCCTTGGATCAGCAGTGCCAGTTAGCTGCACTCAAGACTGAATGCAAAGTGATTAAGACCCAGGCTTATATGTGCAACAAGGAGATAGCTCATTTGGAAGCAGAGGGTGAGAAGGAGCATAGGGAAGCTCAGAAGATCCACAAGCATTTCATGGAGAGAAAAAAGTTAGACATACAATACCTCAAGGAGGAAGGGGAGAATCTCCATCTCAGAGTCCAACTGGCAATGCTCCAAGCTCAACCAACCTTGTCTTTGGACCCCAAGTCCCAAGTTTTCAATGGTGCCTCATCCTCCACCACCACTGCACCATCTCTTTATCCCACCTTGCCTTCCACTGCCTTTGATGATCTTGTTGCAGGTGCCTGAATACCAATCAACCTCATATGTTCTGTATCACCCTTCCCCCCAATCCCCTTTGTTTTTCTATCTTCCACAACTATATCCTACATACTTGCTGGTACAATGTATGTGCACATGTGGAATGAAATGGTCATCTTTCCTGTGATTCAAAGTGCTTCGTACATGCACATGTGGTGTAGTCTACATGTGAATCCCATGTTGCTCAAACAGCCTTTCCATCAGCACAAGGCAATGTTGCTGCCCCAGTGTCCCCCATTGTTCCTCACCTACATCCTCATTCCCACCACCATCCAACTCCTTGCCTTCCCTTATCACCCAGTGCAATGTTCCTTTGCCAAGCATATCCCTCTGTTCACTCTCAAAGTGAATGACCATGTTGTGTAGGATCATGCAGCACATGATCCAATACACAGTAACATGTAAGTTGCTGTCCTTATTCACCTTGAGCCAAAGCTCTTGCAATGACTGAAAGCAGCCTTTGAGGGCTGCAAATGCATAAAGGATTGGTAAGTATTGGCAACAATGAGTCAAGGACAGTCAAAATATCACAGTATGAGCCAAAGAATGTCAGAAACTGAGTAAGCACACTGGTATCACATTAGGGGGTGGCAATGCATGTCAGATATTGGTGGAGACATCAGTAGATCCAAAGATGGGATGACAGATGGACAGTGTTTCCAGACAGGGAAGCATTAATTCCAGAAAAGGATGGCATGAGTCAGGTGTCAAAGGGCTAGGGTGTTAGGAGTCTGTGGGGTAATGGGAGCATAGGCAATTGCATCTCCCACCCATTCATCCTCTCAGAAAAGTTAATAAAAGCTTCATGAACAGGGCTCTGATGGAGGAGAGGGAGAAGGGGGGATGTCTTCTGCTGGGTCTTGCAGTAAAAAGGCAAGATGCATGTCATACTTGTCATGGATGTAATCAGGGAGGCTGGAGAACAGTAGATTACACTGCAGCTGCTGCAATGCAGGGAGAATGATGGACAAGATTGGAATAAAGACATTGCAGGGAGCAGGGAGGAAGGATTCATATGCTTCATCAAGTGGGGAGACTGATGTGAGTCAAAGTGAGGTTCAGTGGTGTAAACCAACCAAAACCAACACAAAAGACACAGAAAGTGAGTGGTGGTGTGCCTATGTGGTACCTAGATGGTGGAAGCTCTTGTTCAGGTGGGTAGTTGCAAGTTACAACACTCAAAGATGAGTGCTGAGGGCTGGGGGTTCTCCTGACAAAGAGGGAGCAAGAATGTGAGAGGATGTGATAGGGTAGACTGCTGTCAGCCTACAGAAGGATGGATGATGACTTAATTCAATGTCCTAAGCTATTCTGAGCTCAGGGAGGACTTGGAGCAAAGTATATTGATGATAGGTGACAATAGGTGAAGTAGACAATAGTTAGATCCTTATTAAAGTCTCAACTAATGAAGCTGATGAATGAATTACTGAGAGATGATGAAATGTGAGCAAGACAGGCTCTCTGATGTCTCTTTTTTTCTCTATCTAAGTACAGTGATTTATATACAGTACAGGGGCATTGCCTATGGAAAACAAGGTGTAAGCACTTGGTAAGTGATTGGTAACTGATAAGTAAGGAATGTGAGTGGTGGGTAATTGACTTAGAAAGCATTGGTGAACATTGGTAAGGATAAGTAAGCCAAAAAGCAAAGAATCAGTAAGCAAAGTCAAAAGATTGGTAAGTATTTGCAATAGGTGAGTCAAGGACAGTCAGAATTTCAAAATATGAGTCAAGCAATTGTCAGAAACTGAGTAAGTGCACTGGAATCACATTAGGGGGAGGCTGTGCATGTCACATCTTGAAGGAATCCCTTCTAGGCCAAGGTGGGATGACAGAGAGGCAGTGCTGATCTGATGCTGATATAATACATCCAAAAGGGGATGGCAGGTGTCAGGTATCAAAAGGGGTCAAGCTTTGGGGGTCTGTGGGGTGACAGGAGCATAGGGGATCACAACTTTCCCCCCCAACTGTCCTCTCAGTGAAGCAAATAAAACTTCATGAATGAGACTCTGTTGGAAGAGAGGATGAATGGGGAGCATCTTTTGTTGTATCTTGCAACAAGAGGGCAAGATGTGCATCATATTCATCATGGATGCAACCAGGGAGAGTGGAGAACAGTAGCTTATACTGTAGCTGTTGCAATTTTGGAAGAATGATGGACAAGACTGATATGAAGATGTTGCAGGGAGCAGGGAGGAAGGATCCATACACTTCTTGGACTGGAGAGACTTAAATGACCACATAAGACCTTTCTAACCAAATGACAGACCTGAGGTGACCAAAGAACATCCTTCTGGAGGTCATACTGAAAAAAAGAATGCACTGTCCAAGCTGGATGGGCTGAGAGGGGGCAGACAAGGATGGGATGTACCAGGATGCTTCAGGACAGAAGCTAGTAGGAACCCCTGGTAAATATACATAGCCATGGTCCCTAGCAAAGGGGACAAGTGAGATGATTGATGTAGAGGTGGCCATATCAGAAGAATTAGCATAATGAGCATCTGTTGGAGGGAGTGCTGTAGAAATGTGTGGAGTGTGATGATCTTTCCCAATTTTGGAAGGTAGGATTGTGTGGTGGAGCACTATAACTGAGTGTGGGAATGGCATTGGTATCTGCAGAAATAGGGGAAAAACTGGAATGCTGTACATGGGTGCTAAGAATTTTTATAGGCACTTAACCTGTTTCCTTCTCTTTTCTTTGGCACTGACAACTCATTCTTGTGTGAAGGATGACTGCCAACATTCCTGGCTGTCTTCCTTTGCATTAGGGCTCTAGTCTTTCATCTCCATTCATCAGCATTATCCATGTCCAAGTCACCAAATACCTCTAGTGTGTGACACTGAAATGACCACATAAGACCCTTGTAACTGAGTGACAGACCTGAGGCAACCAAAGAACATCCTTCTGGAAGTCATACTGACAAGGAGAACATGCTGACCAAGCTGCATGGGATGGGATGGGGCTGATGACAATGGAATGAACCAGGGGGCTTCAGGATGGAAGCTGGTGGGAACACCTGGCAGATATACATAGCCACTCTCTCTGGCAAAAGAGACAAGCAAGGTGATCAATGAAGAGGTGGCCATATCTGATGGACTTAGCACAATGAGCATCTGATGGATGGAGTCCTGTAGAAATGTGTAGGGTGTGAGGATCCTTTCCAAACCCAGAAGGCAGAATCACATGGCTGAGCACTTTAAGCGAGTGTTAGAACAGAGTCAATATCTTTGGAAATGGTGGAGATATGACAAAAACTGGAATGCCATACATGAGCACTAAAAACTTTTGATGGATGCTTGACTCACTTCCTCTTTTCTCTCCAGCACTGATGACTCATTCTTGTGCAAAGGATGACTGCTAATGTCCAGCAGTCTTTCTATGCATGAGGGCTGTAGTCTTCATCTGCATGGCATGGCATGCAACTCATTGACAAGTTAGGCAGAGTCAGCTGTAACCATGTCCACAACACCTTTGGTGTGTGACACTGGTGTGCAGGGACCAAGTGTGGTTGTGCTGAGGGCACCAGAGAGGTAACAGACTGGGGTTTGGAAGAGAGTAGGTCACTAGTGAGGTCCCTTATCCCCCTCTTAGGGTAGACTTCCCAAGTCTACAGGGGTACAGGTGTGGGCCAGGACCACCAAGGGGAGTACTGGATGGGATAGTAGGAGTCCTACCACCAGAGTTGTAAATCCAAGTACTGAGAATGCAGAGGCCAGCTTAACAGGTGTCAAGACCAGTTCTGGGAAGCTTTTGCAAGGCTGGGAAAAGCTTTAAAACTGGAGATACAAAACCAGCAGGGCAGACTGGGCTGGTAAGGGGATAGTAAGGAGCATTGGGGTCAGTAGCAAGGGTATGAAGTCTGGAAACAGGAACCCAAGGGGAAACAAGGAGGCTGGTGGAGACCAGCAGGCAGGGCAGAAAGACAACCATTAAGACCAGAGTCCAGAGAATGGACAGGACTGGAGTCCCAGAGTCAATGGTGGGGTGACACTGAAATGGTTAGGGTGAGGGTGAGGGGTTAGCTAGTACCTGAAGGGGCCTTGTGAACAACAAAGTTTCAGGGCCAATGGGTGAGCTGCAAAGCAGACCAGCAGAGTCAGGGGTTTGTCAGATGGGCTGAGGCCTGGGGTGTCTTGCAAGCAAATCCATGCTCCAATGCAGGGTTGACATCAGGGGGGTTAGAAAACTTTAGTAGTAGGCAGGGATAGGTGACTGCACTACACTTGGCCACCAACAGGTGCCTATTGAGTGAGCTAGTCAGTTCCCTACAACCTAGATACTTCAGTTCCTAATGGGTTGACAATGCTGGTTGAACAGATGGTTGGAGACCAAGAGAGGACCAAGGCCAGGTCCACCAAGGACTGGAAAGGAGTGCTAGGTCAAGACCATAGCACTGAGGTAGAGCTCAGGGGTAGTTCTGGGATGAGGGATAGGCCCAAAGGCCAAAGGAGTGACAGGGGAGTAGCACAGAGCTACCCAAGGGGTATTGGAGGCCAATGGAAGGCCAGAGATGGAAGACTGGTCAAAAGAAGGAAGTCCAGAGTGAGCAAGGCCAGTCAGGGGCTATGAGGAAGTCTGGAGGTGAAAGACCAGACAAAGGAAGGAGGACCAGAGTTGGCAAGTCTGATCTGGGGCTACAATGTCAGGTGAGGCTGAGGGAAGGCCAGGTTGGGGAGACCAGTCATGTGTCGTGAGGGAGTCTGGAGGTGCAAGACTGGACAAAAGAAAGAAAGAGGACCAGAGTTGGCAAGTCTGGTCTGGGGCTAAGATGCCAGGCAAGGCAAGAAAGGGAAGACTGGAGTTGGGGAGACTGGTTTGGGGTCATAAGGCCAGGTGATAGAGGGGAGGCCCAAGGCTTGCAGGAAAAGCCAGGGGGGACTGCTAAGGGGCCAGAGTGATGCACTAACTGATTTGTCTCTATCAAGACCACCAGTTTGGCTTCTGGTGTACCAGAGTACCAACTTGCTGACCCAGTTAGGATCCTGGGGTAGACTCTAATTGTTTTGTCTCAACTGAGACCACCGATTTTGGCTTCCAGAATACAGAGTTACCAACTTGTTAACCTGGTTAGGATCCCAGGGTAAACAGAGGACAGGGAAGAGGTTGGGAATGAGGTCCAGGACTGGGATAGGGGCTGGAAGACTGGCAGACTGGTCCTAGACAGAAGGCCAGGGGCCAGGGGCAAGCCTGAAGGACAAGCGCCATCCCAAGGCCAAGGAGACTAGTGCAGGACCAGGACAAGGGACAGGAGACCCAGGAAGGGTCTGTGAGGAACAGGAGGGGCCAAGGAATGCCAGGACCAGTCTAAGACCCAGTAACAAGTCTAGACAGGTCTGAGTGAGGTGGCCAAACAGGCCAGTAACACACAGTCTGGAGGCCAAAAAAGGGGGTCGAGAGCTCCAAGGCCAGTGTAGCTGAGGCTGAGGGTGGAGACTGGACCAAAAAACTGCCAAAGCCAAGTGCCAATGGGGAACAGGGAAGGTGTTGAGGGCTGGGACTGGCCAAGTCTGGGCCTGGGGGCTGTGCCAAAGGTGCATGGAGGTCCAGAGACCAATATCAGGGGGTCAGGAGGTCAAATGAGTGATGCAATCCCAGTATCCAGTACAGTAGGAATGAACCAAGACTGCTGGGATAGAGTGCTGGGATGACCAAGGTAAAGACCAAGGTGACCAGCCAGGGGTCAGAGGTAGCTCAGGGGAGCTAACAGACATGAGTCCAGTTGTTGAGGCTGGCTCAGGGGCAAGTCTGGAGGGTAACTCCAACTTGGAAGGGAACTCAGATGTGAGTCCACATGGTGAGTCTGACTCAGGGGCTGACATGGCCAGTCCAGAGTCAGGAAAAAATGAGGGGCAGACAGGGGTCAGGAGTGAGGGAGTGGATGCATTAAGTTTTGACCACTAAGAACATAGTGTCAGGTGTAATGCAACCCAGGGTGTGCAGAGTGCCAAGGGTCACTGGTTACCTCTCTGCTTCAGCAGAGGTCTCCAGGTTGGGCCCTGGAGTCAGAGGAGAGGTAGCCTGATGAGTCCCAATGGGTAAGGTCATGGGTAGGGGCCTCTAGAGCAGGACCTAGACATGATGAGGTGACTTGCACAAGTGTGAGTCAGAATATACTGTCAAGTATGGGTTTACCCTTGGGTGACTGAGCTTCAAGTCCAGGTGACAGGGGCTAAGTCCAGTTGGACCAGAGTTGAGGCCAGAAGTTAGGGGTTGAGTCCAGAGGTCCAGAGTCAAGGCCAGAAGTGTGGAGAACAAGATCAGTAGCATGGGAAACCAACTGGTCTCAGAGTCCACACAGAGGGAAGCCAGTCCAGGGTTGGATCTACCTCCCTTGGCCTCAGCTTATGTGCTGTACCCTTATGCAAGCCAGGGAGAGGTCTAGGACAGGGGTTTGGGATAGACCAAGGCTTGGCCTTAGCTATTGAGTAGACTCAAGGGGTAATACAGAGTTGAGGGTAATACTTAATTGATATTCTGACTGAGGTGCTATGAAGTATGTGCAGGGGTCAAATACATGAGGCCAGTCTGGAGCAACAAACATGAAGCTGGACTTGTTAATAAGCTATTAGGAAGATGAATAGCAAGGGGTGGATAGCCACAGAGGCTGTGCCAAGACTAATAGCCAAAGTCTGGGTGACCAGCATAACTGGAGTCAGACACAGGATTCATACAGTAAGCAGAGATCAGGCAAGAAGACTAACTAAATATAGCACAAGCATCAGACAACAGACTGGAGTTACATCTGGGTGACCAAGACATGAACCTGGGAGGACCAGGGTGGAGCAGCACAAGGCCAAGAGGCCAGAGTGGACCAGAGATAGGGGTAAAACACCAAACTTGAGTTATCTAGGCCAGAGTTGGGTTATTTAGGGCCATAGTTAGGTTTTCTAGGTCAGACTAGGTTCAGACTTGACCAGAGATAGGGGCTAGGGGTCTGGACTAGGACTGGGCTTGAGTCAGGAGTGTGTTGGGAGTAATAGGGAATAAGCCCCTTGGTACAATGAACAACCTCATAGGGACCAAGGTAGTGCAGCTTTGATTTACAATCCAGTTCTTTCCCTACCTGTGTGTTGCAAACCAATACCAAATCTCCTGGCTCATAAGCAGACTTCATCAACCATAATGCATACCTCTTCTCAAACTGATCCTTGGAGCATAAACAAGACTTCTGCAAATTGGTGAAAGCAGCATTGATGTCTTCTTCTCTCTTTTCCAACTGATGAATGTGAAGTGCAAGGAGATCCTGAGAAGTCATACCAGAGTAGAATCCTTCAACAAGATAGGTAGACTTGAAGAGATCAAAAGGCAGGACAGGATCAAGACCATGTAGCAGGAAGTAGGGGCTGAATCTAGTGGAGAAATGAGTAGTGACCTTGTCTGCAAAGAATGCATGATGAACCTTGGATGGCCAAGCAAAAGATCTCCTTCACAAGCCTTGATGATAGCTTCTCTGATAACAGGGTGTCCATGCTCTACAACTCCATTTGCCTTGGAATTACATGGGGAGATACAAATCTGGGGGATGGAGTAGTGCTTCATGAGTTTCTCAAAGGCACCCTTGACCTCACTGCCATTGTCAGTGACAACCTGCACAATAATACCATAACAACAGAAGACTTCTTTCCAGAAGAACTTAGCAAGACTGTCTGCATTGGCATGTAAAAGAGCATGACCTTCTGCAGCAAGAGAAAGATCATCTTGAGCTATGACAAGCTAGTGATATCCACAAGCTTTGGGCATGAGCATAACATCAACATAGACCTTAATAAAAATTCTGGGGGAAGTGGAAATGGTGATGGGAACCTCTGCTTTACAAGTGCTTCAGATCTGGCATTCATGGCAAGAACAGACATGATGAGTGACATCTTGGTACATCTGAGGCCAGTAAAAGTGCTGTCTGACTGTCTGAAAAACTCCAGACTCCACAATGACTGAGTTCTTCATGAGCATGACTGAGGATCTGAGCATGGAGATCTGGATCAAAAATGACTTTGGCTGGAGGATGAGGACCTCAACATTTAAAGAGCCAGTCTCCATGAAGGAAGAACTGGAGGGATCTGTGAATGAAGTGCTTGTGAGCAGTATTGGAAGGGAATGGGGGTAGTTCTGTAGTATGAAGAAAGTGGAGGACTTGACATAAAAGGACATCTTGAGATGTATCATTAGAAAGGAATGATGGGAGTGTCATGGCATATGTCAACTCCTGTGCAAGTCATCAACAGGTTGCACAGACTGAAGATGGATGGGCATCTGTGAAAAGAATACCCTCCAACCACTCATCAGCTTCTTCTGCATCTACCTTGCCTTCTTCATACTCTCCTTCTGTAGGTTGATATCTAGAAAGGGCATCTGGGGCTTGGTGACAAATGGCAGGGATGTGAATGAGCTTAAAAGTCAAAGAGAAGTACATATACCCTTGATCCAGCAATTGACAGTGGTATCAGGCTGAAGATCTGGATTATTGAGCATACCTTTGATATACTTTGCATCAACCTCTACCCATAGATGATGAACACCATAGACATATAGATGATAGTGACAAAGCACTCTGAAAAGACCATAGAGCTCAAGCTTAGGCTGACTGTAACAAGATTCATGTTCATTGACGGGGAGTGAGCCCTTGCAAATGCATGTCCTGCGCTACTAGTTCCCTCGTGCTTCTCTCACCTTGTTTCCCCGTTATCCCTTCTGGAGACACCCAGTCTGTTCAGCTCCAACATATACCGTGCGGTTGTTCTATATCTCCCATAATGACCACTTCCGCTTATGATGACGGTCGCGTTCCGCCATACAGGAGGAATCGGGAAGGTATATGTACCTAACCTCAGCATTTTCACCAACATGAGGGCAACACAACGCCAGCTCCCAGCAATGAGAATACAACCTCAAGGCGATTTGAACGACCATGAATGTGCGACAAAAGTGATGTACAAAATGGTGTACGACATCCGGTGATCTGTAAAATTATTATCATGTGCGTTTTCATTCCCGCCCAGGGCTTGCTTCACCGACAGCATACCTTCAATCGTTACCGCTCGCGGGTTGTCACATCAGTAAGTTCACCAACCTGCCAGAAGCTCAACCTGTTCGCGTGACGACTGTCCAGTGCTCATATGCACCTCGATTAATATTTTTGTCAGTCGTCCCCGTTCATGCTTGAAAGTCTGATGACTTACCTGGCGAATCGTGGTGTATGCTCAACACAGATGATAGCACAGGTACGCATGCACCCCCATGAAAACACCGGTTATATATTCCGGTGTGCAGGATTCATGAATCCCAAATTTAAATGCCACGTCTCATCCGAATTATAGGTCACCCACACCCCCCACCACCACCTCCGATCCTGAAGACAATCCACCCGCCGCATCCCCTCCCTCCACTCCCAATCTCTCAACACACCCAAACGTCTCTGCGTCGTCCTCCTCTGGTAAGCGTCTACTAGCAAACCATAATTGTTTGGTTCTAGAGAGGAGATATACTCGACTTCAGCAGCTGTAAGGTGTGTTTGGAAGAACGCATATATACGTTCGAGAAGGTCACGAATCGTGACTCTTCCTCCCGGTCGTTCGATGACGATCGGGCCCCAGAGTTGGCTGATCCAGCCAACGTCACATAGCACAATTATTCTCTCGGATGGAGGTAGTGTCGCTGGTTCGCGATCTATTCCAGTGCCCGTGCTCCCACCCCCTCCCGAGTCCAAGGGTAGGATAATATGTGCACCGGTGACACGTCGAGCTGTGGTGGGATGTGTACTCACATCCCATTCTATCTGGGGAACACCGGGATTTACAGGATTAGGAATGAGCCATGGGGCGAGTCGGACAGGAACGTCAGTGGGCCACGGCAATGGTGGCCAGGTTCCAGGACTCCACTGTGGGACGCTCTCTGAACCGGGTGCAACGCCCGGTGCTAACGGAGGCAACCACGGAGATGGACCAGAGAGAGGCCATCCACCCGATAAATAGCCTGCCATGTACGGACCAGGTGGTTGTTGCACCGGTGCTGAGGCCGGGGGCGGTGCAGGTGCCGATCCGGGCGTTTGTCCATATCCGGTATTTCCGGTCCGGAACGTTCTCGCTGGCACATAGGGGTATGGGCGTGGGTAGGGTAGTGAATGAGCAGGAATATGGAACGCATATAGCCCGGAGGTGGGTGCAGGGGGTGGTTGCGGTACTTGCGACGTCCCTGGCGTGTTATGGTCGAATGGCGGATGCCATGGTGCTTGGTAATTCGATAGCATTGGTTCTACAATCGCCAAGAATATGTGGCGTCAAAAACTGTAGAGTTAAACCCACGTACCCGGATTGATCCGAATTCCTTCATTCAAAGGTGGCTGGTGTGTGTGCGAAGGGCGGGCAGAGTTGAGCTCTGTCACTCGATGATACGCGGGTATATGCGAGCTGTGTGGCTGTTGTTGGAAAGACGGTGGTGGGCGGAGATACGGAGGTTGGAATAGCGGATGAAGCTGGATTCCCGAGTAGGGATAGTCTGTCCAGGTAGATGACGGATGATCACGTGGGGTACTGGGGGGAATGACAGGGGTTACCACCTCTTCTGGGAGTGGGACTGGTCTCAGGAATGGAGCACGAGTTTGACTCTGGGCACGGGGATGAGGTTCGTCGCCACGATATCCGCGCGAGGTATGAGCACGAGGGATGTGAGAGGTGTAAGCTTGATGAGGATGCGGGGTACGAGATCGCCTGGTTTGATGAATATCATGATCGCTGCGGCGAAAGTTGTTTTCGTATATGTCCCTGATAGCACTGTTAATGTAATCGGGGTCGAGTCCCTCGTGTCCCCGCCGCATGGCGAGGTCACGCCAATATCTAACTTCATCGTCGTGTGGATTCATTGTGGCGCACACGTATCTATTCACGTGTTACCACAAGTCTCGTTGTAGAAGCAGAAGCCGCCGTCCAGCGGGTCTGAGACCGTCGTCCACGTCAGTCAGGTTGAACAGAGGGGTAGAAAGGGAAGGAGTGGCACCTAAGGAATCTCACCCAGTAAAATACAGTCCCTGGGCAGGCAGTGCTGTCGACGCGTCGTAAGGGCATCCCCACAGTGCAGAGCCAGGATGATGCCCCTCGCTTTGACCACTCAGTGAATGAATACAAGAAGAGACACGGGCGGCGGGAGCGACGTATCGACAACTGCCCCAGAACGACGTCGACACGACAAAGAATGGACGTAAGGTCGTGTGGCGGAGTGCCCGTAGCAGGGCCGTACACGCACAGTGCTTGCCAGACAGGGGGACAGCATGACTATGACAGCAACATAACCGGATTTATGCATCCTCAGGACTCAAAACAGACGCGACGAGTTTCTCGAGTCCATCTCGAACTTCCGTCGCGTGTTGATTTTCGCCGATTGCCTCCATCCTACCGGACGCGTATCGACCACAGGAATACTGCGGCTGGAATTTGACACCTGCTAAAGAGGGATCGATAAGGAACAAGTACAGCGATTTCGTCGATACTGCTTACTCCACAGTACAAGCACAGCCCGCGACCACCGTGAATCTGTGCGTCGACTCAAGGTGACTGGGCCACAAGCTGTGAGATCCAAGGGACATCGAATATACACCTTTCTGGGCCTCTGGGCTTCCCCAAGCAGATCCAACAATTCCTAAAAATGCTGACAAGGGACTCACGGGGAACGGACTAGGAAAAGGAAACCCGACTTCCTCCGTTTACAGTGCACAGCCACACATTCCTCTTATGGTATGTATGTAAGACCGGGGCCAAGTGGCGTGGGAAGCAGCTGAAACGTCCGGCCAAGATATTAAATCCGTGGGCCCACCGAGAAGATGCAATAAAGGGATGGCTGTCAACTTACTTCTCCAAAGAACATGGCACAGCTAGCACTGGTAGCAGTGACCCAGAACGCGCCCACAATCCTCACTAGAATGTGGGGATACACCCGGATGCAGGTCCGCTCGCCCCGTACACAGCTACCATTAGAGTATATTCCTGGATGCCGCTAGGCCCAGGTCTGTAAACTCTCTGTCGTTCATAATCATACTGGACCGTTAACTCTGGTCACGCGCAGAGGGGGGACGGGCCATGTCTTACACATGCCAGCTACTTCGATATAGAGAAAACTTGCAAATGTAAGAGCTATCCAGAGGTGTGAAATGCAGAATCGCTTGGGTATCGTCGACGCCGTTTGGACACTTGGGGGCCAAGTCAGCAGCTCAACTTCATTATACATCCCACCTATCCTCCAGGTCTTTTACCTCCCCACAATGGTTTCATTCATAAAACTCCACTAATACCGTACAGCTTCCCATTCCATTACACACACCATGATAACAGATCCCTTACATTGATAAGTAACGCTCCCTCCTTGTAGTGCTTTCGTTTGAAAGACTTCGTAACTATGGACACCACACGCTCTCTCCGAATGCGTCCAGGAGCGCCCGGAGGGCTTTGGTATGTAACATCGTGGTATACAGTGGTTTGCCAGTGGTCATACAGACCTTGTCTACGACTGCTCATTGTTCTCTAAAGCTTGTTCGATCTTCCCTTTCTCTTGTTCCCACACCGGTCTTGGTAACCTGAAGGCATCACCGATTCTGGCGTACGAGATATCCCCTAAACGCGCAATCGGCTTATACTTGGTGATATCGACAACCCCGCGTTCATTGAGGACATCCTTGCGAACGTGGATATACTTCACACGTGCGAGGATCAGTGTTGTAGTGATTTCTCCGCTGATGGGATGAGTGACATCGATCGCTTGGAAGAACTTCACATATTGGTAGAAGTGAGAGGAAAGTATCGCCACGGACCCACGATCTCTTACCTCGCATTCCATGCTGAACGCACTCTCCTTGACACGAGGGGCCTTGACATGAATCTAAGAAACAAGGTAACCAGGGGCATATCATATATTCGTAGCTCAGCTACACCCACGCTTGGCACCTTTGTCAGCCCGCTAATAGTCCATTCGTCGAAATCAGGCGGAGCGTCGATGGACGTTGCGTTTGCGTTCTCGGCGAATGGCTCGCTGATGATGTTGATGGTAAAGCCGAGACCATTCCTCACATTTGTCGGCGTGTCTTTGACGCGCGGAGTATTACTGCATGAGAACGAAACGAGCGGCGGGTTATGGGTTACCTAGACGACGTGTATTGATGTAGTCAAACAGACACCAGAGTACAACATATGAACTAACCATGTTGAACCAACTTTCATGACGTATTAGAACAATGTTTGAACAAGATGGTTCTCCTACGGAACTAACGATCGTACCTGAAAGTCGCGAGGTTCTCCACTCCGCTCTCAGAGATGGAAGAGACAAATGCTATGGGCCGAGGTACTATCGCACTGATCATAAGTGGGTACAGTCGCCTACAAAGGTTGTCTTTGCGCTCCGATGTCGAATGACAGGGTGAAAATCCAGGACTTACGAGGTATCTTCGTCCGTATTGATCACCTTCCACCCTTGTTCTTCTCCTTCCAACCATTTCCGCCCAGATTCCGTACTTTCGATCTTCTGACCGAACGTCCACAAAGTATTAGGTGTTTCGGTGAACTTAGTGTGGGCATCATGGTCGAAGGGAGGTAGGGACATGGCGGGTGTTTGATAGCGTCGACTGGATGATAAAGCCATCTTCATATAGGTATCCATGGGCCGGTAGCACGCCATCAGACGGCGGCACTTCGTAATTCCATTGATCATGATCACCGCACACGGTTACAAACGGCAACAGCACGATCCAAGGAGTAGCTTTCAGGCAAATGGCTTATCAGCTTTGGTCAGCATAATTACCTTTTCCCAGCACTTGCTCCTCCACATCTGAAAATGTGAGATTCAAATCACCAGTCTGTTCAGCCACCATGCTCCAAGGGGGAATGTCACATACCATTGTAGTAAATTTTCCATAGAAGCAGGATAATGATCAATTAAACATAGATTGGTCAATTCACATTCCAAGCCAAACACACATTTGCTATCTAATACTGTAGCGCAAAAGAATCAGAAGAAAGCTACATAACCTTTTGCATTCCATTTGCTGAGCCCCATGCCCTACCAAATGGTAGAGAAGTAGAAACACAACAAAAAGAAAGCAAAAGAAGCCAAGGATGCAATGAAGATCCCCTGACAACGCAAGCCGGTAAGGTGCAATAGCAAGGTCATCGCGTCACCCGGAGTTGCAAGCAGAGCTCACAGGCGACATAGGGCGGCAAAAATTTGCTAACCAACTAAAGGGGGCGGTGCCCCCGTTACAGCGGTTATGCTGTAAAGAACAGATACTACACTTGATCTAAGCCAAAAGGCCAGAGTGGTAAGGATTTAGGGATGTTCAGCTCGGGCTTATATAGAATTTCATTGTGCGCACGGACCATCGGGATTTTTTGTGTCGTTTCTTTCCTATTCAGGGCAATGGGAAGTATCCAGATTTGGACGACGTGAACGTCAAGTCGCGATCGGGACGTAATACGATGCTGCAACTGTATTTAGCTTAGCGATGCATGTTTTTTTGCCGATGCTCTCCCGCACATTTCCTTAGGTACTGTGCGCATTTCTCCTCTACACGTTTTGTGTGCCACGCACATTCTCGCAGTTCATTCTCACAACATAAACCATACTGTGTATTTCTCTAGCAACTTGTCCTGGCAGTCATCGAATTGAACTCCCTCACTCAACGTCAACAACATGACCGCTGCTCCGAGTCCCCAACACCATCCAATGTTTTATTACCCTGACGGTACTCATGTTCTTCGGGTGAGCTATGTGTACCACCCCTTTCTACTTACTGCTCGTCATCAAAATGGCATTTACGTGTAGGTTGAAAATACGTTAGTTAAAGTCCACGGAAGCATTCTCTCGGACAAATCCATGACTTTCAGGGACATGTTTGGCACCAATAGCGATGCTGGACTCGTCCCAGTTGATGGAAAAAGTGATGAGCAGCCAATCATCATCACTGAAGTCACGGCTGAAGGGTTCGAATTATTCCTCTCAGTTTGCTACAACAAGTGAGTCTGTTCAACCTACGAGCGTTGTGCATCGTCATGAACCATAGTGTTATTCTCAGGTGGCGTCCAGACACTGCAAAAATGCAGGACGAAGCGATATTTCAGCTGCTCGAAGTAAGTTGGAAGTACCAGTCAAAGGGTGCTCGTGAGTACGCCCTCGATCAACTCGAAAGCTGCCGTTAGGCTATTCACCCCGCCAAGCTGATCTCCATCTCACTGAAATATCATATTAAGGAGACCTTCCAATACGCGTTCAGCCGGCTTATTCCGCTTCTCCTGAACGAGTTAGATTGCAACCTTCTTACCCGCCCTGTCTGGAATACTCTCATCAGGGTCAAAGAGAAACTGGACATTCACCGCCGCATTGTGGCATGTGAACCCCCACCGATGATCCACTCGAAGCGTTGCCAGGACCGGAGGTCCTGCGCCAATGACTGGCGACAGGTCTGGTGGAATGGCATGGGTCGATCTCTGCTCGACGGACGTAACCCTCTCTCATACGCTGATGCAATGCAACAATTCCAACAAGTCGATTACGGACGTGTCTGTCCAGACTGCTGGAGACACATGCTTGATTTTTGCAAATCGGAGAAGGCGTTCATTCATGAGCGCGTGCTTATTGAAGCCACTTCTCAGGATTTGGCGGGTCGTCTTATCAAGGAACCTCTGTTCGACGATGCGGTCTATTCAGTCGACATGTAACGATCTCATCTTGAGGCTTCTTCTGTGCTTCGCTTGTAAACAGCTCACATGAATTTCGTGCACTATATTTTTTACTTGCGGCATCGCGTTCGGGTCTCGTAGTAGACGTCATTCTTTTCACAATACACAGGAACTCTAATTCTGCGGTGTTCGCACTGCCAGACCAACTGTGAATAGTCCACATAATGATATGTAATAATGATATCCGCCACAACGTACAGAAACAAACATGAGAAATAATAGTATGCGGTCTATAGTCCAAATGATACGACAATATTCACCCATCCCACCTATGAAAACGCCCGATCGGCGATTGGAAAACGTTTGAAATACGTTGAAGAATGATATCAAGAGAATCCCTATATCTGAAAGGGAAGAACTCCGAACGCACAGCACTCGCAGACTTGCCGCGAACACTAAGAGTCGTCCTTGCAATCGAAACAGCGTTCGCCGTATCCATATCCGTTTTCGGAGGTGGAGGGGGACCAACGACGTGTGCGGCTATGGGGAGGTTACGACCATTTCGGATACGTGTGGCGACCCAACACCGAAAGACGTCGTCCGTGCGGAAGTAATATTCGGGACCATCGAAACAGCTACCGCTAAATGCGACGTGGAATCCAAGCTTCGAAAGGAGTTTCGACGTGAATCGTTGTAGAGTAATGTCCTCCGGAACGCGAACTTTCCAGGTGTCATCGGTGTCTTGAACATATACCTTGATGATGATCATCCCGTCGACGGGGGCCCACTTTGGCAAAGGATCGCGTCGTTCCTCGGTGGTCGCACCCGCGGAGTCGTGATCGGACGGTCGTTCGCAACCGATAAGTTCTTCCACGCGCTTGACGTGCAGAGCCTGGCTCCGACGATGAGTGGGGATGAGTATCGTCACGTATTCCGATGCGCCAGGTAGCGGGTGGACTTCCTCGTCCTCGACGGGCTCGATCGATGCTTGAGATGTCGGGACAGGGTCCGTGGGGTGTGAGCCGGGATCTGCCTGCTTTCCCTGGCTCAGACTTGCCAACGAGTCCCAGCTGCTCGACATCGCAGGAGACGAAGAATGGGATGGTGCGCTTGTATTCAAATCGTGAATAAGACTATCGTCGTCCTTGGCACACTCGTCAGAAGGGAGAAAAGATATATCGTAGCGGAGTTCCCGCAGAATCACGTCTAGCTCGATGTCGGCGTCTTCGTTCAGGCTTTCGGAATGATGGCTCTCGCCCCCCTCCTGTTTCTCCATAGGAGTCGCAATCGTAGTCGCGTTATCGGCGCCGAGGTCTGGAAGGTCGCATGTGACGCCAGCGTCATCATCCGAATGCCTTGCCGTGTCGTCTTCTGGACTGTCGGTCATCGAGGGTTTCGCAGTAAATCGCAAAAGTTGGCAGTCATTTTCGGTTTCGACGACAACGACGGCGTTAAGCGTTTCTTGACAAGTCCGCCCCCAAATCGATGCACGGACAGTATCCGTGAGTGGACCAAGATCTATACCGACTTCGTCGATGATCGGAGATCGCGTCTCCGAATCGTTCGCCCCTTCTGTGTCCGATGAGGAACGTATATATCTAAGTAGACCAACATCGATGTCAGCTTCGTCGATGATCGGTGATGGCGTCTCCAAATCGTTCGCGCGTTCTTCGTCTGATGAGGAATGTGTATTTGCGAGTGGATCAACCTCGATGTCAGCTTCGTCGACGACCGGCGATTGCGTCTCCAGGTCGTTCGTGCATTCTTCGTCTGATGAGGGGCGTGTATCTGTCAGTGGACCAACGTCGATATCAGCTTCGTCCACGATCGGTAATCGCGTCTCCGGTTCGTCCGCGCACTCTTCATCTAACGAGGAGCGTAGATCTCTAAGTGGATCGACGTCGACGTCAGCCTCGTCGATGATCGGTGATTGCGTCTCCGGTCCGTTCGCACATTCTTGCTCCAAGGAGATTCGTTTACACGGTGGCCGCATCGGACTTGCAGGACCACTAGTCAGCAGTCGAACCTTGACTGGAGGAGAGAATCGAACCGCAGGAGGATACCATGCAGGCCCCGGAATACCAAGGTAAGAGCCTGGGCGGTGAGACGAGCCAACGAGTTCGAGAGAGAAGTCGTAACTTTTGCTGATAGTGTCCTCGTCCTCGTCTTCATCTTCGTTTTCGTTTTCGTTTTCGTCTTCGACGTCGACCTCGTCGTTTTCATCTTCAAGGACGTACAGGTCAGCGAGGGAACCGAACGATATAGGTGGGCTTATTTCGGGCTCTGAATCCCCAGGGACAGCACATCGGCCTTGCTCTACGCTGCAGACGGATTTCCCAGAGTCATCATCGCCACATTCATCGATATCGCTATCGTCCTCATCCGAAAAGGTGGAATGAAGAGATACCACCGCACTTCCAGTATGCTCGTCCTTGTGGGCCTCGCTGGGCTGAAGGACGTCAGATCTGCAGGGTCTCGTCTTCACGTACTCACTTCACTCCCTCCTAAGCGTTCTTCATCCGTTCCTGCCTGGGGCGTGTCAGTTCCTGAGGCGCACTCGAGAGCCTGTACGAAGGGGGGTATGTCAAGTGCACTACCTGTAGCAAAGAAGAAGCATACCGAGTCGTTGGCTGCATCACATTCGTTAACGGTTTCATGGCTTATTCGAGCCTCCTCCGACGTTCCAATACTCGTCTACGGAGGATAAGTACATATGGTACAAAATATTCGTACACCTACCTTGCGTACTACTGCCGGTGTGGAACGAACGCTCTGGGCGTCGTGTAATTGGGGTATATCGGAAAGCTAACCGAACGATGAGTGCTATTGCACGATGTCAACACGAACACTGACCTGAACGTCAACGTCGTTCGTCTCACTGCTCTCCGGAACAGGATCTGCCTCAGGGATGGGGGAGCTTGTCCGGAGGCGTGAGCGCTTCATAATGTATGGGCGAGGCCTGCGGTGCAAAGGAAGACCACCAGGGGTGTATGCATTGAAGCCACTCGGTCGGCGTGGAGGATGATCGCCCGGTTGGTAGGCATTGAGGCCGCTGAGTCGATATACAGCGAGACTACCCGGACGATACTCGCCAAAACGATGTGATCGATGCGAATATGGACGATCTGCGAAGTGCACACGGGGATACGTTGGGCGGTACGTCGCAGGCCAAGGACGAACTGGATCTCTGGGTGGGAGCGCCGGCAAAGGGTCTTGGTGGCTGGAAGTCGCGGTACGGCCAGTCCGGAGTGACCCAAGACATCGAGGAGAGTACCAGTGAGACGGGGATCGGCTACTGGGATCGGTGGAGGATGACGAGTTCCGGCGGCGTTCCCGACAGAAGTAACGTACGGTGGAAAGAAGAGTCACGGTGAGAATAACGACGCATATGACTGCCAGCACGACGACTGAGGTATCTGTGTGGCTCTCTGCACGCTTGACATGACGAAGGACGGTCGAGCGAGCGTTGACAACAGGTACCAGGGTAGGAGACATGGTGGGTGAAGAAAGAAAACCGGGCGGACGGTAGAAAACAGGGGGGAGGATACATTTATATATGTACTGTCCCTGTCAGCCACCGGTGCAAGCTTGCGGAGGCAACACATTCCGACACACACTTGCACGCTGCGGGACTGTACGCTCTCCTAAGATACGCAAGCAGGGAGGAACAGTCCTTGGACGCCGTGTTCCGATATCTCTGAGCATCTATGGGATGAGCCAAATGACGAGCAACGGCCAATCATCCAAACGTACCTGGAAGTAGAACACCTGCCATTCAGAACGATAAGACTTCCAGGGTGGTACGTACGCAGCGAAGCTTCAGTGTCATTTGTGTCGAGAAACATCCGCAGTCGTCGAGTCCATCGGCGAGGAATCCAACTGTCCGACTTACGTAATTCACGGCGCAGTGATTCCTAGTTGCGTTCGGATTTTCAGATGCGACTTCGAACTTACCCCGTTGCTAGTACTTCATACACCCTTCCTCGCTAATTAGCTGGCGGATTGTTGCCCCGTAGTCTCGTTCCAAAACTCCATACTGACTGACTCATCCCAGAAGGCTATCTCTGTATCCTTCCGGGACGAGTCGCTCAGTTGGGTTAGAGACTAGTAGAATTGAAAGAGTCTGCGGAACATATCTTGAAGCTTGAAGCGTCGGTGACATTTGTATTGACGTTCGCGGTCGTCAGTGAGGAACTTGTACGGTAAAATGCAGACCAGCCAACTGGTCGCAACTGATCAACGTTTTACCATACAACGTCCCCCAACTGTTTGACTTTGTGATCCATGCTCCCACCGAGCCTGTTCCATACCAACGCCGCGCTGAGCTAGCCTTGACTGAATCTCTGGAGTTGCAATCGATCTTGATGAGTTCTACCGTCGCGGCGTTGGCTTTGCACACGGATAAACCTCACACTTCCCATTTCGCTTTCCCGTTATCCTGCTGACTACCAACCCATAGTATCTGATAGGTACGCACAACGTCAAGCCCACTGATGCGAGACGTGTACCGTAGCCGGGACCACTCGCACCAGTGCATACTTTCCTCATCAACCGTTCCGAATTCTCGCTCTACATTCCACGTTTCCGCTCCGATACGCTCCTACATTCCAAAGCAAGCAAGGTCCCCTGGCAGCAGGCGCGGCGTCTGTACCGAGTTCTCGGCAGCAACGCCGTCCCCTAAGTAGTTCAACAAGGTCCGTGCTGTATCACGCGGTCGTTATACGAGCTGCGCTGCCCACCTCCCCCACATTCTCTGCCTTCGCTCCTCAGATATTAGTCAATACGACGGTGGCCGGTCCTGGCTAGATTCTCTTCTACCTGTGACGTGAACTTCCTCGTGTCCCAGGGGGAAGACAATCCACCTAGTATCAATACCATAGTACCACTCCAGGAAGTAGTATCCCCAAAACTGGTTCAACCTCTGACAGTCCATCCCTCGAGCTTCAAGGTTTGTTCCTTCTCCTTGTTTCGAGCCTTTGTACCGCCCGTTAATGCCCACCGCACCACTTGTTGCGGAATCAAGTTAATTGGACAAGCCAACTACACCCGAGTCATGTGTGTGACGTCGTCCACAGTATTCTCCAACTGACATGTTTTGACTCTATATTCTCATAACTCGACAACACCAATTTTCACATTTCGAACTTCTATGGCCAACTTTGCGCCTGGTTAGACATTCGGATTCCCCCATTCAGCCTAACAAACGTGGACGGCGGCTTTCACAACAATACTTTTTGTAACACGCGAATACGCTACGATGAATCTACAGGACGACGAAATGAGATACTGGCGCAACATCGCAATGCAGCAGGGACATCAAAGACTTGACCCTGACTACGTTAACAATGCCATAAGAGACATATATGAAAACGATCTTCGCCGCAGCGATCATGACGTTTATCAAACCAGACCGTCTCGTGCCCCGCACCCCCCTCGTACTCATACCTTGCATGGCCCTCGTGGAAACGAACCTCATCTCCATGCACACACCCAAACTCGTGCACAATTCCTGAGGCCAGTCTTACCCCTGGAACAGGTGGTAGCCCCTGTCGTTCCCTTCAGTGCGACACGTAATCAACTCTCCCATCAGCCTTCTACCTGGACAAGTTATCCCTCCTCTGGAATCCATTCCGATCCGCTACTCCAATCTCCGGATCGTCGTCCGCAACGGCCCTACCGACAACGTCGACACAGTTCGCATACACCTGCCTATCATAGAGCGACGGAATTCAGCTCCGTCCATCCTTCACACACAACCCGGCATTCTGTGCCTCCACCGTTGGATGAAGGAATTCGGATCAATCCAGGTACGTGAGTCTAACTCCTACAACTTTTGACGCCACATGTCCTGGCAGTGACAGAACCAACATTATCGGATCACCGTCCACAACGGCGTCCGCCATTTGCCCATAGCACCCCAGGGACTCAGGGACTACCGCAACGAAGTCCTGCACCCTCCCCCGAGGCATATACGTTCCGTTTTCCTCCCCACCCACTCTCCCGCCCACACCCGTATTACCCCTACACGGCAGCCCATATATTGGGTGCATGTCCGCTCTCTGGTCTATCTCCATGGCGACTACCACGGGTATCAGGTGTTACACCTGGTTTGGGTAGCATCCCCCAATGGACTCCAGGCACCTGGCCACCATTGCCATGGCCCACCGAAGTTCCTGTCCGGCTCGCCCCATGGCTCATTCCCAACCCCATAAACCCTGGTGTTCCCCAGATAAAATGGGACGTGAGTACGCATCCTATGACAGCTCGACGTATAACTGGTGCACATGTTATTCTGCCCCTAGACTCGCGAGGGGGTGGAAGCGCAGGCGCTGGAATAGACCACGAACCAGCGACTTTACCTCCGTCCGATAGAATTCTCGTGCTATGTGATGTTGGCTCCATGAGCCAATTCTGGGGCCCGATCATCATCGAACGACCGGGAGGAAGTGTCACGATACGTGACCTTCTCAAAGGCATCTATGCGTTCTTCCAGACGCGCCTTACGCGTACTCCTGTCACTCCCTTTAGTACGACACGTGTCAGCTCCCACATAATACCCGGACCTCCTCAGGAATCGAATCTAATTCGCTACAACAACCTCCTTATCATCGCTCGCCTCCACCTTATCAGGAACAGCCGCACAACTCGCATACACCCGCATACCATCGAACAACGGAATTCGACCCCTATCCTTCACACGGTCCCCACCACTCTTTCCCACCATTCTTGAATGAAGGAATTCAGATTAATCCAGGTATGTGGGTCTAGTTTCTCCCAGCTTTCGACGCCACATATCCTAATATGGGTTACAGAACCAACGCTATTAATTCACCATTCACAATGGAGTCCGCCGTTCGCCCATGACACCTCAGAAACGTGGCGAGCACTGCAACGAAGTCCTGCAACCACCCCCGGATTATATGCATTCCGTTTTCCTCTTCGTCCACTACCCCACCTCGATGTGCCAGCGGATACCTTCTGGACCGGAAATACCGTGTCTGGACAAGAACCCGCGTCAACACAACAAGGGGCTGTGCCGCCTGCGCAACAACCACCTGATAACTACACGGAAGCCCATCTATGGAGTGGATGGCCCACATGGGCACAGGGCGTTGCACCTGGCTCTGTAGGGTCCCGCATTGGAATCCAGGCACCTGGCCACCAGTACCACGGCCCGCCGAGGTTCCCATCCGGCTCTCCCCATGGCTTACTCCCAACCCTGCAGATCCCAATGTTCCCCAGATAGAATGGGATGTGGGTACGCATCCCACAACAGCTCGACGTGTCACCGGTGCAAGTGCTATCATACCCTTGGACTCGGGAGGGGGTGGGAGCACGGGCACTGGAATAGACCGCGAACCAGCGATATTGCCTCCGTCCGAGAGAATTCCTGTGCTATGTGACGTTGGCTGGATCAGCCAACTCTGGGGCCAGATCGTCATCGAACGACCAGGAGGAAGAGTCACGATTCGTGACCTTCTCGAAGGTATCTACATATTCTTCCAGATGCACCTTTCACGTGCAGAAGAGGAGCATATCTCCTCCTCTCAGGCCAGACTATTATCGTTTACCACTAGATGCTTATCAGAGGAGGGTGACACAAAGACCATCTGGAGTACTAAGAGATCGGGATGGGAGGGATAGGATAAGGAGGGCGGATTGTCTTGGGGATCGGAGGTGGTGGTGGGAGGTGTGGGTAACACATAACTCGGATGGGACATGGCAGTTAAATTTGGGACTCGCGAACCCCATGCACCGGAATACATGACCAGTGCTTTCATGGGGAAGGTGCGTGTCGGTGCGCTATGTTGAGCATGCACGAACAGCTGACAACCATCTCGGCCATCACTGGCAGATTTATTGATGATGGCGACGACCTGTGATTGGCCTGCAGCGACGATTGCAGTCACTTGCAAGGTATGCTGTTGCTACTGCTGGTGATGCAATTCCTGAATGCGCATAATTTTTTTTTTACAGATCACCGAATCTTGTACTTCCACCATTTGTACATCGCTTTCGTCGCATATTCCACCATTCATACAGTAGTGCAAATAGGTTGCGGTGTGCTGAAAAGGAAGACGCAGAACATGCATAAGAGGAGGGACATTTGCGGTTTGCATCAGCCTTCGACGCCTACTACACACTGCATCACGAGGCCGGGGTCGTTGAGTTTGACTTTGCCAATCGAATCGATTGTGTGTCGGATGGCGCCGTTGAGCAGCGAGTGGCACTAAGATTCGGGCTCCAAACGGGGAGAACAGAGGACAGGTGAGAAAACCTTGGAAAGACCGGTTGTTTGATGTCGAGTAGCGCCAAAGCTAGTTTGGGGGATACTACTTCTTGGGGTGATGCTAGGTGTTGATAATCACTGGACTGTCTTTCTTCTGGGATGTGAAGTTCACGTCGCATAATGAAAGACAGTCCAACCACGATCGGCAACCAGGGGGAATTAGCATCGACTGGGGCGTCCGTGTCGTGGGGAGGTGGAGAGGGATCTTGCACGACGCCAAGGAGAATATGACCTGGCGGATATTTGAACGACTGTATGAATGGCGTAATATGCAGCGAAAGCGATGTACAAAATAGTGGAAGTACGAAGTCTGGTGATCTGTAAAAAAAAAACGATGCACATTCAGGATTTGCATCACTGCCAGCAACAGAATACCCCACAGGCAGCTACAATCATCGCTGCGGGCTAATCACAGGTCATCATCATCAATAGGTATGCCAGGGACAGTTGAAATGGTTTTCAGTGGTTCGTGCATGCTCGACGTGGCACACCGACATGCACCTCTCTGATGAAAGCACAGGTCATGTATTCCAGTGTGTGGGTTCGCGAGTCCCAGGTTTAACTGCCACGTCCCATTCGGGTTATAAGCCACCCACACACCCCATCACCACGTCTTATCCCCAAGACAATCCACCATCCTCATCCCATCCCTCCACTCCCAATCTCTCAGCACTCCCAAGTGTCTCTGTGTCGTCCTCCGCCGATAAGCATCCACTAATAAATGATAATTGTCTCATCCAAGAGAGACGGTATGCTCCACTTCCGCACGCGCAAGGCGCGTCTGGAAGAATGCATAGATACCTTTCAGAAGGTCACGTATCGTGGCACTTCCTCCCTGGTCGTTCGATGACGATCGGGCCCCAGAATTGGCTCATGAAGCCAACATCGCATAGTACGAGAATTCTGTCAGACGGAGGTAAGGTCGCTGGTACGTGGTCTATTCCAGCGCCTGCGCTTCCACCCCCTCGCAAGTCTAGAGTCTAGGGCAGAATAACACGTGCACCGGTGATACGTCGAGCCGTCATAGGACGCGTACTCATGTCCCGTTTTATCTGGGGAGCACCAGAATTTACAGGGTTGGGGAATGAGCCATGTGGTGAGTCGGACAGGAACTTCGGTGGGCCACGGAAATGGTGGCCAGGTGCCTGGAGTCCATTGTGGGATGCTACTCAAACCAGGTGTAACACCCGGTACCCATGGGGGCCGCCATGGAGATGGCCCAGTGAACGGCCATCCACCCGGTAGTTGGGCTGCCGTGTGTAGATTAGGTACCAGTGGTTGCACTGGCGCTGTGGCTCATGGACGTGCAGGTCTCTGTCGTGCCGACGCAGATTCTTGTCCAAATATGATATTTCCGGCCCGGAACATTCCCGCTGGCACATAGGGGTAATATGGGTGTGGGTGGGATAGTGGACGGGGAGGAAAACGGAACGTATATGCCCCGGGGGAGGGTGCAAGACTTCGTTGCGGTGGCTCCCGCGTCCCTGAGGTGTTATGGGCGAATGGCGGACGCCGTTGTAGACGGTGATTCGATAACGTTGGTTCTGTCATTGCCAAAACATGTGGCGTCAAAAGTAGTGGGAATTAGAGCCACGTATTTGGATTGATCCGAATTCCTTCATCCAAAGGTGGCGGCATAGCATGCTGGGGTGTGTGTGAAGGACGAGCAGAGTCGAACTCCGTCGCTCTATGATAGGCAGGTGTATGCGAGCTGTGTTGCTGTCGGTAGGGCCGCGGTGGACGATGATCCAGAGGTTGGAGTAGCAGATGGAAATGGATTCCTGAAGAGGGTTAATCCGCCCAGGTAAAAGGCGGATGGGAGAATGTATCACGTATCGCACTGAAGGGAATAACAGGGGTCACGACTGGTCTCAGGAATTGCGCACGAGTTTGGGTGTGTGCGTGGAGATGAGGATCGTTTCCTTGAGGGACATACGAGGTATGAGTACGAGGGAGGTGTGGGGTAAAAGTACGATAGGAGTGTGGCGTACGAGGCTGCCTGGTTTGATGAATATCATAAACGCTGTGGCGAAGGTCGTTTTCATGTATGTCTCTTATGGCATTGTTAACGTAGTTGGGGTCAAGTCTTTGATGTCCCCGCCGCATCGCGAGGTTGCGCCAGTATCCCATTTCATCATTCTGTGAATTCATCGTGGCGTGAACGTATCTGTTCGTGTGTTACGAAAAGTATTGCTTTGAAAGCCGCCGCCACGCTTGTCAGGTTGCATGACGGATCCAAACGTCCAACCGGGCACAAGGTTGGCGGTGGAAGTTCAAAAAGTGAAAATTAGAGCTGTCAAGGTATGAGGATATAGAATCGAAACATGTCAGTTCGGGAATACTAAATACTATGGACAGCCTCACACACGTGATCCGAAGATAGTTGGCTTGTCCAATGAAATTGACTCCACATCGGGGGGTGCGAGCGGTAAAAAGGTTCGAGACATGGAGAAGAAACAAACCTTGAAGCTCGAAGGATGGATTATTTGAGGTTGAACCAGTTTAGGTGGATAATACTTCCTGGAGTGGTACTATGGTATTGATACTAGGTGGATTGTCTTCCCCCTGGGACACGAGGAAGTTCACGTCACAGGTAGAAGAGAATCCAGCCAGGACTGCCCACCGTCGTATCGACTGACATGCGAGGAGCGAAGGCAGAGAATGTGGGGGGGATACAGCACGGACCTTGTTGAACTACTTAGGGGACGGCGTTGCTGCCGACAACTCGGTACAGAGGCCGCGCTTGCTGCCAGGGGACCTTGCTTGCTTTGGAATGTAGGAGCGTATCGGAGCGGAGACATGGAATGTGGACCGAGATTTCGGAACGATTGATGAGGAGCATGGATCACAAAGTCACAGTTGGTGACGCTGTATAGTAAAACGTTGATCAGTTGCGACCAGTTGGCTGGTCTGCATTTTACCGTACAAGTTCCTTACTGACGACTGCGAACGTCAATACAAATGTCACCAACGCTTCAAGCTTCAAGATATGTTCCGCGGACTCTTTCAATTCTACTAGTCTCTAACCCAACTGAGAGACTCGTCCCGGAAGGATACAGAGATAGCCTTCTGGGATGAGTCAGTCAGTATGGAGTTTAGGGCGAGACTACGGGGCAACAATCCGCCAGCTAATTAGCGAGTAGGAGCGTATGAAGTACAACTCGGAATCACTGCGCCGTGAATTACGTAAGTCGCACAGTTGGATTCCTCGCCGGTTCGGACCGGAACTCGTCCATCCCAGCAGCCGATCCCCGTCTCACTGGTACTCTCCTCGATGTCTTGGGTCACTCCGGGCTGGCCGTACCGCGGCTTCCAGCCACCAAGACCCTTTGCCCGCTGGGCCAAACTAGTGACAGATTTAAGCCTCAGGCTCTCGGGGAACCAGTTTACATGGTATCTGTCAGTAAGCCGTGATCTTGTTTGCTTAGTGCATCTGGAGGAAGCTCTTTGAAAGCACTCGATGCTTCTCGCCGGCGGTCGTTTCGAGGGCAGGCGGACCCACCTAGTTCACCGACTAGTGCGTGTGCAACTTGTCTAACTTACGCCACGATGCATCAATAACATACTCACTAGTAGTATTTTAATAGATCAACACCTGAGCTAGGATCTGCGGTATTCACTGCACTCTTGGCCTGGATGCACGCGGATGTTAGTATTATAGCCGAGGAGCGCATTCATAACATTAAAATCCAAGGGTATGTTTGAAACATGCTAGCATAGCCCGAGAATAGCATCAGTAGAAAACCACAACTGATTCAATCAATCTCCTGGGATCAGTCATCGGTCAGGCTTGCATGGTCAGGTATGTGATGCTGAACCTCGGTGATATCGGGCCCATTCGGTCCTTCGCATTCTTCTTCCACTCGTCTGGGTAGTAACAAGTGCTGTCTCGTCTCCATAACCCACTCCGTGATACCAGACCGACCGTTGGACCGTACCAGCAAGACAAATCGAAAGACCGAATATAAAGAAAGTAAGAAAGTCGTCGCAAAGACTGCAACGAGAACGAGCGAGCACAGCGTGCATATCCCGATCGACACTGTATGGTTGGAGCGTTAGATTAAAAAAAGATAGTTGTAGGGCTATACGCTGCCTGAACATACCGATGACTGACTCGGTCACGAGGGAAGCCGTGATCGCAGACGCGGCAGCGACGAATACGATAGACGAAATGATAAAGATAGATATCCCGCTAGAAGCTTGTCAGAATTAATAGGCAGCACGGAATGTGTACGCACACGAACGACAATATTGGCAGAATAGCAAGGATAGAAAGGACGGTAACGAATGTCTACAGGGATTCAGCAAACGACGTCGATGACAGCGAAGTGGACGAACCATCATTATAGGTTTCTCTTCGAACTTTCTAATCCCAATTGCTATGGCTGGACGTGCATAGTTTTGCTCGATCCTGGCAAAAACTCCGTTAATCACGATAGTCAACCGTGGCGTAATGAGAATGGACTTACACGTCCGCATATTGTCGCACTAGCTCCGTGCACCTTTCAAAGTATGTCGAAAGGCTTTCGTTAACATCTTTTTGTTCGCCCCATTTGCGATCGGCCATGTCGCCGTGGTGGACGTGGAGACGGCGGTCGGGCCACGGTGAATGTTTTCACCAGCACTGCTTGATCGGCGCCTCGATCTCAACTGGTAACTGTCACGTGATTATTTTCTACTACTACCAAGTCTCAGTGACATCCACATACAGCAAGATGAGTGGCCGAAAGCTCAGCGCGGATGAGCTCAAGCTCCATCAAGCTGCTCTCGCAGCACACGACAAGGTCAGCCAATCCCCTCAGAAATCCCCTACCCAAATCGTGTCATAATGAAAGATCTTCATTCAACAGATACTTGCAGTGAAAGATGCTGACAAGGTTGTACCGGATGCAGCTGCTTGCATGGCTGCCATCAACTTTTTGCTCGGGACGGTAAACATTCCTCTAAACAGCTTCTGTGTGCCTTCCTGATTGGACAGTGCAGGGGATGTTCAAGGTTATGGCCAGTGCTGGTGGGGTAACTGCATTCTGAGCTGTGGCAAAGAATGAGATAGAAATGTGTGTGGTCACCTACTACTTTATGTGTTGTGTTCTCTTATCTGTCTGTCTCAGAAAGAAGGACATGATGCCTGAAGAAGCTATGGTCCTCAGCCACATCCAAGCATCCAGAAATGAAGGTGTGATGGAGCAGAAGTTCCTCATAGATCATCTTTCTTACACATTGAATGATCATTGCAGGAATATGGACGAAACACCTAAAAGCCAAGACCGAACTGCACCAGACTGTCATCGATCGCTGTCTGAAATCCCTAGTCCAAAAACAACTTGTCAAATCCACCAAAGCTATCTGAGTATGTAGATGATCCCACTGAAAATACTCGTTTTGTGAAGAATGGACAACTGATGGTACCATGCATATGCATACACCAGCACCCAATGCACAAGATATACATGCTTGCTCACCTGGAGCCATTGGTAGAACTCATGGGTGGTCCCTGGTACACTGACAATGAACTAGATGCTGAGTTTATCAAGCTTTTATCTTCTGCATGTCTCCATTACATCTGTGACTGCATAGGGTTTCTATTTTTATCTGCATATTTGGGGAGACTCACACATTTTCCCACCAGTCATTTCCGAAACAGAACAGAAAACATGTTTCACCTAATCAAATATGTTTATACGTGATAGGTGCAGCTTCATCTTACCCATCCGCACAACAAATACAACACTTCCTCAGCAAGAGTAAGATTACAGAGACAGAGTTGGGAGTTGAGCATGTAGAGATGCTCTTAAGAGTATTGGAGCTCAATGGTGAGATTGAAAAGGTGTGACAATTTGCCTTGCTTCATTGTCCCATGTTGAGTTCTTTCACTGATGACACCACAGATTCCTGCATTCAGTGCTGGTGCCTGGAATCCTCTGTCTGATTCTGAAGGAAGTGGTTCTGGCTTGGAATCTGAATTGAGTGAGGACAACTGCTCTTGTTCGAAGAAGCATAAGTGTGGTTCTAGCAAGACCAAAGAGTCGAGCAAGTGCAAATGGTGGAGGACAAAAGAAGACTCCAAAAGTGATTCAGACAGTGAATCTGAGGATCGGTCAAAGGTGAAGAGATGGAAGAAATGGTCAAAGAGAGACAAGGACAGCGATGAAGAAAGTTCTGCAAAATTGTCAAAGAAGAGGAAGTGCAAGAGTAAACATAGTGATTCATCTTCAGAGGAGGAAGAGGAGGAAGACAGAAAAAAGAAACATAAACACAAGTCAAAAAAATGCCAGGATATGTCTTCCACCAAAGAATCTGAATCCAGCGAGGTTTCAAATGGTACCTTCGTATATTGTGTGATCAGACAAGAGCATGTCATGCTTGGCTGGTCGCAGGCCCCTTGCAGGTGATGTCCTGTTTTTGATTTTTGTTGGGATAAGGGGCTGACAAATCCTCAGGAATGCATATATTATGAGGAGTGTTTTGCTTTGGGTGCAAATTTGCAGAAGGATGCAGCAACAGTGGCTGTGAAGGTGGAAGTGTAGAGGGGATGGAGAGGATCCAGTATGTTTATGGAGAAGCAATTGGTTGTTTATGATGCCATCAAGGTGTTGATGAGAATGTCCTCTTCAAACATCTTTTCTGCAGATGTCTTAATGATACTCCATCACTTTCCATGCATGTACACAGTATACAGTTGGCATTGCTACTTGCTGATTTCCAAAGCTTACTGGTTCATCTACTTCTCACTACAAGTCTAGGCAATCTGACAATGATGAATCATCCTTGGGAGGACAATGTGTTTATTTGAACTCTGTTTCAATTATGTAGATCTGCCCAGCCCAAGTCCTGTGGCAAGGATTCAGCCCAACATTTGATGGCTCAACTCTGGGGAACTTCCTTAAAAGGAAAGGCTGCCCTCAGGTGGGTGGGTGGGGAGGGGGTTCGAGCATTCAAGTGGGCCCTGCCAGGCATTGCAATGTCAGGGCTTGGGTGGGATGGCTTGGGAGGGTGCTGAGGCACTCTGTTCATGTCCTACACATGTTTATCTATGCTCTTAACCAACGAAAAGTGGGAAATTTGCATCAGGAATGGGTTGTAAAGTGCAAAATCCATTGTAAAGTGTGCTAAGTGACTTAGCACCGGGAAATTTGCAGCCAGATAAGCAAATTTTCCCAGGTGGGAGGGTGGCCCGTGCCAATTTTTTTGTGAGCACACGTTCGCACACGCGCAGCCAAGCCCGAAGTGCAAGCGCCACATGCGAGGCGTGATCACGTGACCGCTTCCCGTGCCCGAACACCACTCATCTAGCAAATTTGGGCGGGTCTCTTCACAGAATACCCATTTATTTCGTGAATAGTTACATGGCTGACATAGAGTGGCTTCCAGTAGCATTGAATTGAGTACAGATGTACAGGCAAGGGTTGTGCACAGCCCACAAGTCTCCCAACCCTCACTTTCTCGCACGCGCGCCTTCCGCTTAGTCAGCGAAATTTGCAGTGGCTGTAAGCACAGCCACCTGCAAATTTTTCGGAATAAACGTATACTTTACTGATGTAAGCCATTTTAACTCGACACCACCGGAAGACGAATTTCACCTTCACTTCGTGAATCGTTGTTGGTCTGTGGCACTTGTAATTGCTGTGCGGCGATAATGATCCATACTTTATTCCTCTGGACTATGATGGTGTAATTAAAATTGTGTGCTGGTTGCGAAACAGCGACTTGGAGTTCGCGCACAATATGCGTCCGCGCTAGGTCTCGGGGTTGTAATCTGTTCAGATCAAACAGTCGATGCTCTCAAGGCCGTGATCAAGAAAATACACGCGATCCCTGAGTGATGTACTCCTTGTCTTGCTTGCGCTATGTTCCGTCTCGAGCGTCGTCTCGAATTTAAAGGGAAAAAAATGTACAGGGGTACTTTGCTCCTTAGGAACAAAACGATATCGGAAACTTTTAGGGATCTTCCATTTACTTAAAGATACGCCTTTGATCGCTGCCGATGTTTGGTATGCTGAAAGTAAGTGATCTCAACTTCTCGTCGAACCATATTGATTCCCAGGTCCAGGGATACCAGCTCCACTCCCATATCCTCCCACCATGGAAGATCGTGCTGCTGCGGTCGTACGGAAAGACGTTCTTCAGTCAGAATCCCAAGGCAGTGCCTTCCAATTCCTTAAGTATAACATCGTTTCGGGAGCACCAGCACCTCGAATGCTGAACCATACCTGCGCCTGCTCTCAAGAGGCAGATGATACTATCCCTCTGACGCTACCACATGAAGATTTTGGCTAGTTCTTGGAAGACTGTCTAAATTACCAATACGCATGTGAGGACTATATGTTTGGTCAGAACTTTGCAGACTTGATGATGGAGGTTTATGAGTACGAACCAAGCACATGAAGGCAGTTTGCCAAAAAAAAAAAACTGTGGTTCGGACCTTACCAGCACCAAGATCAAGAATTTCGAGGCGGACGGCGAGTTGTGCGCCAGCGATCATCATTATTTGGTTGTCCAAACCTATAACGAGACTTCGAGTACATCCTCCGAGCCATATACTCAAGCTCTGTCATACTACATGGAGGCAAGTCGACTCGAGAGACAGCGCCTAAATTCACAGGATCTGCGCTGCCATGTTTTCTGCTCACAATTGTTGGTCAGTGAATGGATTGTTCCATCCCCCCTGCTCTTTCTTTCCTCTAGGCCCCATCATTGTTATTTATGGCGCTGCATGGAATTTGCGTCCAACTCGTGGAGAACCCTTTGGGTCTTACTTGCACTTTTCATTTTCGCGAGGTACGCAAAACCGAGACTTTTCAAGAGCATGCGGCTTGGCTGCGTTTTGGAAAGCTCTCTACTTGCTGAAGAAATACTACAACGAAGATCCCTAGTCTGCAAAATTAAACCCCCCCTCCTCAGCGGCTGCCCCCATATGTTCCTGCACCCCACGAGTTATCCAACGACTGCTGATGGCAAAAAAACCTAAGAACTCTAATATCGGAAGATGTCTAACCCCGACAAATGCTTATTTTTCGGGACTGTTAAACGCAATGATGATGAGATCGGCATCAGATGCGCCCGAAGTACACCGTGTTTTCAAGTCTTTAGGATGTACACCAACCCCGTGAGCTTCCGTAGAGATCCCAGGCAGCATGACCATGGTGGTCGTGAATATGCTCTCCAACTATGTGACGCTATGCAAGCAGCCCGCTACCGGGTCTGTCATGGATGAATTCAACGAGAAACTGGAGGCGTTTTACGCTGCAGGCTTCGTCCATGGCGATATTCGTGATGTGAATGTCATGGTGTCACACAATGGAAAGACGTTCAAGATAATTGATTTCGACTGGGCAGGGAGAACAGGTGAAGCGCGATATCCACTTGACTTAAGCAGGAGAGAGGTATATGGAGGCCGGATGATGTGGCCGGCATGGAATCCATCTGCAAGGAGCATGATCTGGGACAAATCTGTTCTGATGGTACTATGATATTGAAATGCCAGGGGATGTCGGAGACATGCCTTACTAAGCATAGCTAGGGAATCGTGCCCTAAGAGAACCGTTAGTTGATTTCGCTGATCATTCGTTGGTCTGATTATGTGATGCTGGATCGCAACATCGTGCGGGAAGGCTTAAGCATGGTACAGATGCGAGGTGAGATACCGTTGTGGGATCCAGCAAATCTGGCATTGGCGAAGGTGGCATTTGACAAGTATCTGAAAGAATGAAATGAAAATAGTGACCTGTCATGATCAACACCAAGAAACGTTAGGCAATGGGTGATATAAAAAGGACTTACCATTCTCTTCCTCCGTCTCTGTTCTAAACTCCGTCCCCATCGCACTCGTCCCGTCTGCTTCAAGGCCTCCCTGCACCTCCTTGTCCGCGGCTAGTACCAAATACGGGACACACTTAGCGATCGATGCTTGGGAATTCACCAGGCTGATGCAGATTCTGATGCCAAGTTACAGATCCTTACCCCTGCACAGGAGGTCGTGGTTGTGGACTTCAGCTACCCCACTCCATCCCTCAAGGTTCAGAGCTCACATTAAGGCAATTACGGTCGGATGCCATCACGGAACTAATTTATTAGAACGTACTGCTACGAATACTACTCTAATGCCTTGTTAGCTAATATTCAGCATGCGTGACTGGTCGTGACTTTCTTGTGACTGCCAACTGCTGTGTGCTGCCGATTGCACTGTAAGGAATAGTATACTTACTGCTCTCCAGAGAATTCTAAGAACCTGTCTTTTCGTTCTCCATGGCTCCTGGATGTTTCAGCGCATTATGGTCTTTACGGCGGCGGCTTGCTCGGGCTCGGAGCGACGAAGAAGTCGACCTGAGTGCTCTCGCTAGCACTGAATCTACTCGACTGGCCGCACCAGCAGACGATGCAGACGTCTGTGTCGCCACGTCACTCGGAATCATTTGTCCGCGTTCTCTGCCTAGCCCCAGCAGTGTGGATGATCCCGATCCCATCTCCGCTCAAGGTAGATGCACAGATTCTTTCATGTTCTGTCACGTATCTACTGAATTGGCGTGCCCAGATTCTTTACCAAGCAGTGCAAGCACCGCTGCTCCTATGATGACTGGCGTGGAGAGTCAATCTGCTAGTTCATGTTCTCTCCCTGGATGCGCTGGAGAAGTACCCATGGGCAGTGTTGTCTCTATGATGGATGATGGAGGTCTAACATTAATAACCAGAATTTCCCTCTTCCCGGCCTGCCTATTGCCTAGATCCTGTGAAAGCTAAACAACATGTTGACCGCATTCGTCACTTTCGCATTCTTGTTATGGGCAGGGCAAATGCAGGTAAAACAACAATTTTGCAGAGGGTTTGTAACACTATGGATGAACCGGAAATTGTTAATAGAGAAGGATGGAAGGTATGCATGATCTGTCATTCTTGCTTGAGATTAACACTGCTGGGGTATGACTAGCTGGATGCCAATGTAGTCCAGGCTTCGCTGGCAGTGAGTTCACCTCCCATTTGTCATCTAACTTACTGTTTAATGTATCCAGCATGGTGAACATAACATTGAGGATGAGCTGATCTTTCGGAGTCATCCACAGTTTATATTCCATGACTCATGTGGATTTGAGGCTGGAAGTGAAAAGCAGTTTGACATGATGAAGAAATTTGTGCTGGATCGTGCCAGGACACCCAAACTAGATGAGAGAATACATGCCATTTGGTAAGGTTACCACCATGAGTCCCACAGTGCCTCACTATCAGTGAACTGACATGATTCTGGTGATTGGTTTAGGTTTTGTGTTCCATTGAATGAGAGCCATAGGATGATTACAGCTGCTGAAAGAAAGTTTTTTGATGAGTGTGATACAGGGCATGGTGTGTGTATATTTTTATAAACTTATTTTAGTTTACAAATTTGGTGTTTCTACAGTTCCTGTGATTTTGCTGTCAACAAAGGCAGATTCTTTGGAACTTGAGGTCTTTGAGCAGCTTGAGGACCAAGGATTTGATGTAGATGATGCAACAAGGGCAAAAGAAATGGAAGAAGAGATTCTGAGCAATTATATTGTGAAGCTCAAGAATTGGTTGAATAACCTCGAATTTCCACCTCATGACTATTTGTCACTCAGTAGTAGGTACTCCATACATATGTTACATTGGGATTGTCAGATGACATAGGAAATCACTGCAGGAATGGATGAAGAAGATGCAGACTGCACAGCCCTATTAGCATGCACAGCAAATGCTTTGAGTAAGGAAGGGCTGCAAGAGCTCATCATATCAACACAGCAATCTAACCTGGGACTGTGCATTGAATTTGCTATAATGAAGTAAGTGGGGAAGTTTAACACCTAGAGTGTATTGACAGGTGCAAGAACATTGAAGAAGTGGATGGATAAGATGGCTGTCAAGATTATACCAGCTCTCCTGACATCTATGCTCTCAAGATGGTTTCCATTTGTAAGGAACAGCATGTTCTATGAACGAGAGCTCATTATTTAATAGAAAGTTGGTGAAGTGGTGAAAGTTGCTGCTTAACCATGCTAACCATGGTTGCTGTCTTGTTGTTGGCCTTTGCTGATAGTATGTGAGTGGAGTTATGGTGGGTGATTGTGGTGGATGTATGTATGCTGACCATGTTCACTACTGTCCTGTTGGACCATGGGGTCAAAGTTTGTGAGTGAAGTCATGGCAAATGGTGTGGATGCATGCTGACCTTGTTCACTACTAACCCATTGGACTTGGGTTCATAGGATGTGAGTGGTGTCATGGCCAATGGTGATAGGTTCATGTTAACCTCATATGCTGCCACCCTGTTGGATGTTGACTTATAGCTTGTGAGTGGAGTGATGGCAGGTAGTAGTGAATGCATACTGAGCAAGTTTACTGCCACCCTATTGGACTTGGGTTCATAGCTTGTGAGTGGTGGCATGATGGTGGATGTTTTATGATAATTTTCACTACCCTGTTGGTTTGGGTTTCCAGGAAGTAAGTGGAATGAGAACAGGTATTTTGGGATGTATGCTGATCATGTCTCTTGCCAATTTGGGTTCATAGGATGTGAGTGAAGACTTAGTGGGCAGCAGTGGATGCTTTATGACTTCATTCATTGCCACCCTGTTGGTCTTGGTGTCACAGGAGGTAAGTGGAGCCATCAAAAGTAACAAATGGTGGAATGATGGTCATGTTCACTACTATCATGTGGGTGCATAGAATGTGAGTAAAACCATGGCAGGTGATACATGCTGACCATTGCACTATTGGACTTTGATTCATAGCCAGTGAGTTGAGCTATCAAAGTTGGTTGTGGATCCATACTGACCCTGTTTGCTTCTACTCTGCTGGCTTGTTTCATAGTATGTGAGTGGTGTCATAGTGGTGGAGATGATGGATACTTTCTGATGATATTCACACCCTATTGGTTGGGGTTCATAGGAAGTGAGTGGAGTCATCACAGGTGGAGGAGGATGTATGTACATACATATGCTGACCATGGGTCATTATGTTCAAAGTTTGTGAGTGGAGTCATTGCTGGGGGAGGTGCATTCATGCTGACCTCATACATTGGTCTTGGACTCATAGCTTGTGTGTGGAGTCATGGCAAGTGGTGGTGAATACTTGCTGACCTTGCACACTGCCACCTTGTTGGACATGGGTTTATAGTATGTAGGTGGAGTCATGGTAGGTAGTGGTGGATGCTTGCTGACCTTGTTCACTTGCACCCTGTTGGTCCTGGGCTCATAGGAAGTGAGTAGAGTCATAAAAGGTAGTGATAGATGCATGCCAACCACATTCACTGCTTCCCTATTGGTTTGGGCTTGTAGGAAGTGAGTAGAGTCATGGCAGGTAGTAGTGGATGCATGTTTATCATGTCCTCACTGTCATCTTGGTGGACTTGGGGATCACAGTATGTGAGTAGAGTCATGACAGATGGTGGTGGAACTGACTGACCTTGTGGTGGCCCTGTTGGTATGGGGTTCATAGGAAGTGAGTGGAGCCTTGCTAGGTGATGGTGGATGCATGCTGAACTCATTCACTGCACCCCAATGGACTTGGGTTCATAGCGAGTGAGTGATGTTATGGTGGGTAATGGCAGACACATAAGGCTGAGCATCCACCACTACCTTGTTGGCTTGGGGTTTATAGCCAGTGAGTAGAGTCATGGATGATGGTGTTGATGATCACTTCAACTTGTTGGTTTGGGTTCATAGGATGTGAGTGTAGTCATATTGGAGGTGGGGATGCTTGCTGACCATGTCCAATACCACCCTGTTGGACTTGGATTCATAGGGAGTGAGTGGAGTGACTGCAAGTGGCAGTAGATGCATGCTGACTTCATTCACTGGTGCCCTGTTGGACTTGGACTCAGCTTGTGAGTTTCCAGGAATCATGGCAGGTGGAGGATGCATGGTGATAATAATTCACTGTCATGCTGCTGGACTTGGGGTTTGAAGCATGTGAGTGGGGTCAAGGCAGGTTGTTGCATGTTGAGTCTGACCTTGATCACTGCTACTTGGGGTCATAGCTTGTGAGTGTGATCATGGCAGGTAGTGGTAGATGTTTGCTGACCATGTTGATACCTGCTGCTGAACTTACTTGCCACCCTGTTATACTTTGGATATTAGGAAGTGAGTCTTGTGCATTGTGCTTGTTGAGTGGGATGTTGATGTTGAATAGATGGTAGGATACTTGATGACTATATTTGAGTGTTTGCTTAATAACACCTTTCAAGGATGTAGGTGCATACCTCTATGAAATGTCACTCTCAGCTTTATATCCTCTGCAGAATGTCAGTAACTATGACTCTTTTACACTATTGGCAACTTCAGACATATTTTACTCAGAATGTATGAAAATTTCATCTTAATTCAGTATCCCATGACACCAACAAGGATTACAGTTGGTTTGTGCCACCACTTCTCACCCACATTGGATCCTGTCCATGATATATTCACCAGGTTGTAAGTTCCCCCTCTTCCTGGCTTGTCCATCAGAGGACCATTACATGATTTGAAATGTTATAGTCCACCATTGCTCATCCACTGCCATTCATTACAATGCCAAAATTTTCCACCTTAAGGGAATCTTCAATGCAATTTATTGCAGAACATGGTGTTGGTAAATACATTTTTCTTGTTTTAATAACATAGCTGAAGATTGCAGGCTCTATACTTGTGTTTGAATACTTATACTTTTTGTTGCAGGTCAAGAATGGGAGGAGTGATTTGCAGAAGGATGTGACAAAAGCAGTCACAGAATATCAAACATCTGGTGTCCAAGCTCAAGTTACCCAACAAATTGAGGCAGCTTTTCAGGAGCATGGTGAGGATGTTGAGATTTTATGTCCTATTCTTGTGGATATTGCAAGGGGTAACCAGATGTGTAAGGCATTATTGCTTCTACAATCATGAAACATTCACTCTATTTTATGCAGCAAAAAGCATCTTGAAATGTGAAAAGACAGATAATTTAATTGCTCTGGTGGTTGGCTGAGATTCCTGTAAGCCCCTCAGGTTCTTATCAGCATGGAAGTGTGAACATAAGACCTCCAGGATTCTTACCCTTGCATTTTTTTCTTTGAATTTTGCCATTATGTGGACATTCCAAATTTGGAACCAGCTTTCTATGTTGTACTTGTACCAGGAATTTAACTTTATGCATCCAGCATTATTAAAAAATCCTCTATGCCTAGTTCAAATATGAACCTTGGTGTTCATTGTTCACAGTGATTTGCCAGAGGATTTGCCCACTGCCTTTCAATAACCACAGGTACAATACCAGTAGTTGGTGTCAACTTGGACTACTGTGATGGTAATATGTCAAGTGCCTGATCCATCTCAAAGTTGTCCACATTGCTCAGTTGTCTGAGTGTCACTGACTGTCATCTGCAATCAGAGTGAAGCTACCTGATCCCAGACCAGTCAGACCATCTGACACATTTCAGATACAATTTTCAATTGTAGCTAAGGTAGTCATCTTGTGGAAACCACAAACATCACATGGATGTGACATGGTGTCAAGTCTGGGGATACCAGGGTCAAGAATGGTCCAGAGTCCAGTAGGTACAAGTCTAGGTGATCTAACAATGATGAATTGTCCCTGGGAGGATAATGTGTTTATTTGAACTCTGTTTCAATTATGCAGAACTGCCCAGCCCAAGTCCTGTGGCAAGGATTTGGCCTGAGGTTTGACAGCCCTGTGTCTACTTCATTACTATTGTATGACAACTCAGCACTCAGTGCCCAACTCCATTTCTCATTTAGAGCTAGTTCAGAAACCTCAGGTAAATTACAATTAGTTCCTTCAATGCTTGTACATGTTTTTCCACTGGGGCACTTCACATAGTGAGTTTGAATTGAGTTTGAAACATGTCCTGTGATGGATTATGATGATCTGGATCAGCTTAGGCTTGCCTGGGTATTGGCTGCTGCCATTGTTTCCCTCATATCTCAGTACACTCTTGATTCACTTACTCACTCAATGCCTAATAAGACTAATGCTCCCACTCCATGAGTTCATTGGAACTATGAAGAAACCACTGCTCTTGTAAGGTTCCTGCACAACAACCAGCATGAGGCAGGCAATAATGGGAACTTCAAGATGGTTACATATCAAGCCACTGCCCTGCATATTGCCAACTATCACACAGATGGACCTCCTAAGAACTATCAAGTAGTGAGAAACAAGTGGACTGGCTATGTAAGTCAGCATTGTAAACTGCTTGTGATTTACTGATCTTCTGTCATAGATTTGAAAGATATATTGAGACATTGAGTACTATCAAGCATGACCATTCAGAGCCCACTGGGACAACAAGATGGGGGCTAATATTCAGGGTCAGCATGCTGAGCAGGTGTTCAAGGATTTTGTGAAGGTATTTTTATTTTTATTTTTTAATCCAATGGCTTGATGAACTGACAATTATCCTTAGAGTCACCCCCTCATTTGCCAGTTCAAAATAAGTGGATGGGATTTATATCCCTACATTGCAGATATCATACCCCATGGTGGTGCCTGTGGGGCCAACATCTTTAGTCCAGATAGTTCCAATGCCACCACCAACAGCCTGGACAATGGAGACAATGGAGTGCCAGCCTTCAACCAACCACTTCCACTTCAGCATCTGCTGAATCTACACCCTCCTCCACTTCTACACCCATTGAACCCATATCTACTTTAGTGCCTGCCAA